CCTTATCTAAGAAGGATATTATATTAAAATAAATGTTTACAACATATCTTAAGCTGTTCAAAGAAGCATTATAGATGCATTTTAAAGTTGGGACGTTAGGATGACTCGAGTTTAATCAGTGGTGTACCTTAAAATCTAAGTTTGCAAACTCAGTGATGAGTTTTCATGCACAAGTCAAGCTAACATCTTCCTGAACTAGAGCAAATTTCCATCGTCTAAAATGTCTCAGAGTGTTTGACATTTATTTCTCAACCAGCGTTCATTGTGCTAAACGGAATATCAATCTTAAAATATTTAACATCTTAATGTTTTGGCTCACAAGAATCTCCCTAGCAACATTTGTTAACTTTGAAAGCTTCCTAAAGTTTTCTCTTGGGAGTAATCTGATTCCTTTTTAACTCTTCTTTACCCAGACTTTACCTGAACAGGTATCACAGATACCACTGTTTTTATCTGCCCCAGAAGTTATTGCGATAAATGATAACTTCAAAATAATGCAAGAACACATTCTCAAATTTCGATGAGCTTTAATTTCTAATGAACTGGAAGACATTTTAAATATCCAAAATAAATACACAAAACAAAAGAAGCAACAAATAAAATGAGTCATGAAGTTTCTGTTAGCAAAATTGTCCCAGTTGAGACCAAAACGCCAAAACTGAAGACTTTTACCATCCAGTTTGTGGTTGAAAGAAAAAAAAAACAATAAATTATGCAAGTGGAAATTATTGAGCTTATTTTAATTAATCATGCGATTAATTGGTTTTATATCCACTTTAAAGGAAAATTGTGACTTCTTTGAGTTAAAGTGGTTATGTCACCAATCAGGAAGACACTCACATGTTCATTTGTTTATTCAGGTTGATGTAGACCAAACGTGACAGTCAGGAGTTGCTTTTATTGTTGTCGTCAAAAATCTGTAGCAACGTCCACGTCGTCTTTGACTCTCGTCTCGCCCCGATCGCTTCCTCCATCTCTTCCTGCTTCATCCTCGCAGCAGCTGACAAACCCAGCTGACAGGATCCTGAATCTTTTCCCCACAGAGATGGAAACAAACTCGTTGGGTTTTTCTTGGCCAACGTGCGACTTCGTTGTTGGCCACATCACAGCTGTGAAGTGGTTTCTCAGTCATTGAGCTCAGAGATGCAGCATGATGTCACAACGTCTGACAGAGGCTCTGCGGGTTAAACCAGAGGTCTGATGAAGAGCAGCATGGAGGGTTGGTGGGAGTTCAGTGACACGCCCAACGGCAGGGGAAGGAAGGGACGTCTACACTTCAGTTCAGGCTGCTCAACTCACTCTGATCTTTCCCAAACCACATCACTGCAATCCACTGAGCTGCAACGCAACGGCAGGCAACGTTGATGTCAACGTCTGTGTGAGGCCATTGCACTGAACCCATTGAAAACCTGCTGGTTTTTCCAGCAAATACGAATTTCTGGACTCTTCCTGAGTTAAAACATTAGTATTGTTGTTTCTAAATGAATATGAACTTGTTCTCTTTGCATTATTTGAGGTCTGAAAGCTCTGCATCGTTTGTTATTTTGACCAAATAAATATCAAAGTTTTGCTTGGAGTTTCAGAAACATGTCAGTAGTTCATGGATTAAAAGAACGATGGTCTTTTTACTCAAACATATACCTATAAAGAGTAAAATCAGAGAAATTATAATTTTAGGTGGTCTTTAATGTTTTCCACAGTTGTATGTAATGATATTTATTAATCCTAGTAGCTCAATTTCTTATTGATTTGTTTATTTGAAATAAAAATTGGCTTATATTTGAAACTTTAATGAAATTAAGTCTGCCCTATGTTTGTGAGACATTTCAAAGTAAAAGAAAAATATATTTTAGTTTATTTTTCCTTGCTATTTTTCTTGTTTTTCTGTGATTCAGGATACCATGTCTATCATAAGACATTATTCATAACACTATTCTATATAATAATGGAAAATGTCTTTTTTTTTTGTTCATTTGCGTAGTTTTTTATCTCTGGTGCTGAAAAAGTTTTTAAAATTTTCTGTGGAGAAACATTCTTTAAAGAGTTGATAACTTCTTTTGGTGATTGATTGATCGACTTTCTGATTTCCTTCACGTCCGATTCGTCTGTCGGTGTTTTCGACAGAAGCACTTCCTACAAACATAAATATTTCACATCATGTTTGAGAAGACATATTTTTAGAATTTAGCGGCATTAATTTTTTATTTCTTTTTGAATGTTTTACAAGATGACGACAGTGCTGTTTGAGTGGAAATGGTTGAAAAGTGTTAATATTTTTATTTTTAACTAATAACTTTAAAAACTAACTGAATTAGACAAAACTAAGCCACAAAGAAAACCCCTAAACTATTATAACCCTGCTGTAGAGTCATGGAAAACCCCCTCTGAAAGTTTGATTTCTGTTGTTCCCCTCCGCGGCGCTCCACACAGATGGTCTTGACTTTTGGGTTTTGACTTTTGCTGTTTCTCACCGGTGGAGGAGAAGCGATGCACCGGATCGTAAATATGTGGCGGCCATGACTCATCTGGAGTCGTTGCGTCATGATCTTTGTTTGGGTTGGACGCGTCTCAAGACGAGGAGGAAGACGAGGCCGAGATGAAGCTCATGGCCGAGGCACGCAGAGAGGAGAGGAATAGATTCTACCTCCAGATCGAATCTAGTTATTGGTTTTGATTGACAGATGGAGGAGAAAACCATCCATCCGTCGATTGATCGGTTCATCCAGTCATCCTTGCTAATACCTCCTGCCCATTTTAGCAAATACAAATATTCACCATGATGATCATGACAGCCATTTTGAAAAAGAAAATATAAGATCAAGAAAATAAATATCTGAGTGAGGCCGAGGTTTTTTCTATCTCTCAGTCAATATAAATATCATTTAAAAAGCAATGTTCTGTGATTTATAACGCATCTGATGGTCTCAGGAAGAGAAAGTCAGTAGCGAAGCCGTTCCTCTGAGTCCCACACCGAAACCGCGACACAAACAAGTGCCCACGCAGAACCCCCGTCTGTGGACACATCGCTGTGGTCCTGTTTGTTGCCATGACAGAGGCACAACATTCCTGGGTGGCCCGTCTTGTTTTTCTGTGATTCAGGATACCAGGCGACTTTCCCCACCAACATCTACATCTACAACTGTACATGTTTTCTATTCCTACCATCCTTCTTCAACTCCTGACCAACGTCTATAACTTCAACTCCTGACCAACGTCTATAACTTCAACTCCTGACCAGCGTCCATAACTGTAACTCCTGACCAGCGTCTATAACTGTAACTCCTGACCAGCATCTATAACTGTAACTCCTGACCAGCGTCTATAACTTCATCTCCTGACCAGCGTCTATATCTTCAAATCCTGACCAGCGACTATAACTTTTACTCCTGACCAGCGTCTATAACTTCAACTCCTGACCAGCGTCTATAACTTCAACTCCTGACCAGCATCTATAACTTCATCTCCTGACCAGCGTCTATAACTTCATCTCCTGACCAGCGTCTATAACTTCATCTCCTGACCAGCGTCTATAACTTTACTCCTGACCAGCGTCTATAACTGTAACTCCTGACCAGCGTCTATAACTTCAAATCCTGACCAGGGTCTATAACTGTAACTCCTGACCAACGTCTATAACTTCATCTCCTGACCAGCGTCTATAACTTTTACTCCTGACCAGCGTCTATAACTTCATCTCCTGACCAGCGTCTATAACTTTTACTCCTGACCAGCGTCTATAACTTCAACTCCTGACCAGCGACTATAACTTTTACTCCTGACCAGCGTCTATAACTTCAACTCCTGACCAGCGTTTATAACTTTATCTCCTGACCAGCGTCTATAACTTCATCTCCTGACCAGCGTCTATAACTTCATCTCCTGACCAGCGTCTATAACTTCATCTCCTGACCAGCGTCTATAACTTTTACTCCTGACCAGCGTCTATAACTTCTCCTGACCAGCGTCTATAACTTTTACTCCTGACCAGCGTCTATAACTTCATCTCCTGACCAGCGTCTATAACTTTTACTCCTGACCAGCGTCTATAACTTCAACTCCTGACCAGCGACTATAACTTTTACTCCTGACCAGCGTCTATAACTTCAACTCCTGACCAGCGTTTATAACTTTATCTCCTGACCAGCGTCTATAACTTCATCTCCTGACCAGCGTCTATAACTTCATCTCCTGACCAGCGTCTATAACTTCATCTCCTGACCAGCGTCTATAACTTTTACTCCTGACCAGCGTCTATAACTTCAACCCCTGACCAGCGACTATAACTTTTACTCCTGACCAGCGTCTATAACTTCATCTCCTGACCAGCGTCTATAACTTCAACTCCTGACCAGCGTCTATAACTTCATCTCCTGACCAGTGTCTATAACTTCAACTCCTGACCAGCGACTATAACTTTTACTCCTGACCAGCGTCTATAACTTCAACTCCTGACCAGCGTCTATAACTTCAACTCCTGACCAGCGTCTATAACTTCAACTCCTGACCAGCGACTATAACTTTTACTCCTGACCAGCATCTATAACTGCAACTCCTGACCAGCGTCTATAACTTCATCTCCTGACCAGCGTCTATAACTGTAACTCCTGACCAGCGTCTATAACTTCAACTCCTGACCAGCGTCTATAACTTTTACTCCTGACCAGCGTATATAACTTCAACTCCTGACCAGCGACTCGGCGGCTTTGCGTTGTTTCTGTTTCTACTCCGGCTGTGTTTTCCGTGCAGGATAGCGCAGGCTAAATCAAGCTGAGGGAATGTGGTAACAAGATGCTGGCAGCCGAACGCGGAGAGAGAACATTCCACGACTGCGATCCTGATGTTGCCGTCTCAGATGGCAGATTTCCTTCAGTCAGACGGGTGTTTGTGTTTCCTGTTGGAGGAAACCAGCCAGTGAAATCTCCCTCCAGGTGCAGTTTGATCAGTAACTGGAGTTTAATCTGAGTGATTGGTGGGAACCAGAGGGATGGATGTCTCCATCATGTCTCCGTCTTGGTTCCACCATTCATGTTGGACTGAAGTCCTTTGGACTCACAGCTGCGTCGCCTGAATTTGATCCAGTTTCTCTCAGAAAAATTAATTTCCTTTCTGATCTGAAACTTTTAAAATGTTGCTGTTCTCATGATTAATGGATCGCCCTCGGCACGTGCGGCTGAAACTTTTACAGCCCGTCTGCAGGAGGAAGAGGAGGAGTGTGTGTGTGTGTGTGTGTGTGTGTGTGTGTGTGTGTGTGTGTGTGTGTGTGTGTGTGTGTGTGTGTGTGTGTGTGTGTGTGTGTGTGTGTGTGTGTGTGTGTGAATACTTGAGGGAGAGTTGCGTGTTGAGTGGGTGGGTTGGCCCGGACTCTGCAGTGCGCTCTCCTCCCGACTCAGTGGGAACATCATGAGTCTGTGGGTCGTCCAGGGGAGCGGCCCGCTTTCTGGGAACTGAGTCCAGATCAGGCGTCCGACCCGGCGATGCCATGCTGGCTCAGAGGAGCGGGCTGCGGGATGCGGAGAAGAGCGCCGGAGGCTGCTGCTCCTTCTCCTCCTCCTCCTCTTGCCCCTGGGCTCGGCTGGCCGGCGCGGACGGCTGCCTGTCGGAGCCGTACTGCCTCTGGTTCCAGCTGCTGGCCCGCGCCTACTGGGGCGACGTGGAGCTGGGCGTCTCCGGCCCGAACCGTGGCGCATCCTGGAAGAGCCGCATCCGATGTCGGGTAAGGAGAGCATCCTCGGAGAACCCGTTTAGGGGAAAGCGTCTTTGTTGTGCTGCCTGAGGAATTTCATGTGCGTCATCCTGCGCTCCGGCAGCTGGGTCGTCCCGTTTCACTGACCAAGATCTTCTGTAACGCGAGTGTGTTTGTGTGTGTTTGGGTCAAGTTTCGTTTGTTGTGGTTGGCCCGTCTGCAGGGCTCAGAGTGACACCTTCTGCTTCCATTCAGGGGAAAATTTCCTGAAAGGCAAATTAAACGAGGTTTGAAATTACAGCTGAAATGATTAATCGTGATTAATCGGCTGTTGAACTAATTAACTTGTAATTAAGTAATTCAACTCCTTTGCTTCCTTCGCTCCTTCCTTCTTTTCTTCCTTCATTTTCTCCTTCCTTTCTCCTGTTCTCTCTTCCTTCCCTCCCTCCCTTCCTTCCTCCCTGACTTACTCGCTTCCTTCCTTCCATTCATTCTTTCATCTTTCCTTTCTCCTGTCCTTCCTTCCTCCTGCTGCAGGAGATTCTTCCAGCTCATATACTTGGGCTATACTGGTCAAGTTACTGGAAAGATAGATGAAGCTCCTGAAGTTTGGTCCAGTCAAAGTCACAAAGACTCTCAAATTTATATTTACTGAATCTGAGCTAGAAACTGGTAAAATTATTGCAACTTTCCTCTCATTTATCCCATAAACTCCCAGTAAAAAGTGAAAAAGTTAATGGGGGATAAATGAATAATTTAGTGTTTTTGTAGCGGTAAGTGATGTATTTAATCCAAACTCTCTTTAAATTTTAACCAGAGGAGTTTCTCTCCTCCGGCTCGCCTCCTCTGGGACCGAAGACCGAACCTCTTCCTCCCTCTTCATCAGCCGCTGCCTGACATGCAGAGCGGCGGCGGCGTTAGCATTAGTGGCTAACGCACAGCCAGCGCTGATGATGGATGTGACGCGGCTCATGTTCAGTTTTAGCGACTGAAAGCAACAGAAAATCTCCTGCTGACGTGTTGAGAAGGAGAATACAGAGAACCCAACATGCATTTTTCTCTGCTTTTTGTTGCCATGTTTGAAGAACCTGGTGAGAATATTGGAAATTAAAGCTTAAAGAAGCAGCTGCAATAAGCATTAAATCAATTAATTGCATGATTTAGCATTTTTCTTTTTTCTTTCTCTTTAAAAATTAAAAAAAAGTCTTCAGTCTGGTTTATTGGTCTTAACCAGCCTCTTTATTTTAATTTTTGTATTTGTTTTCAATTCATTTTATTTGTTGTTTCTGTTGTTTTGTTTTTTGTTTTGAATATTTAGTTCCATTGGTAAATATTAATTAGAGGTTTATTGCTCTTTATTATTATGCCATTATCATTATATTACTTGAAAATGGTCTCAATGAACAATATTATCATTTATCGCAATAACTTCTGGGACAATTTATCACCAAGCTAATTTATTACATTATAACAAACTTTTCTGGACAATAATTTGTAATAATTTCCTTCCCTCCAGAAATTATTGCAATTAACAATAAGATTGTTATTTTGAGACCATCTTCATAAAAGGATCAAAAATCACTGAACTTTTAAAACTAGAACTGGAAGAAATTTTAGATATTACAAAATAATAAACAGAACAACAAATAATATGGAACCAAATCACCAAGCTGAAGACTTTTATCGTCCATTTTAAGTAGAAAGAGCTCAAATATATCAACATATCTGCAACAAAACGGAAAATAAAAATGCTAAATTTTAAAAATTCTGCATTTTTATGTAGCGTTGTTCCTCCACTGTGCATGTAAAAGTTTAATTTAAAACATATAAAATTTCCCTCTGTGAAGGAGGGAAGTCAGCTCAGCTGTAGCTGCTATGCAGGACCGACTCGGTCCAAACTTTCTGCACGTGTTTTGTTATGTAGGCAGTTCTTACGCAAGAGACCTGCAGCCGAGCCTGAGGCGAGCTGTTTTTTCCTCCTTTTGTCCGCTACAGTAGGAATGTAGAAGATAAGTCTGTCATCATGAAAACACGCAGAAAATTGAGCAATAACTGAAGCCATATGAGTGCAGGTCAGACGGCGACGTTTCCCCCTTCTTTACTCGACGTTTCGCAGCTTCAAAACAAACTATTTTACAGAAACTCAGGAAAAACAGAACTTATCCAAGTGTTGAGTGTGTATTTCATTATTTTCATTAGGTTGTTTATAAGCTCTAGCAATGAAGTAAAGGCGAAAGTATCCCTTTAATGTGAAATAGTAACTCTTCAGCTTTTCATAAGTTCTTAATTAGAATAATTAGAAAGTCAAATTTCTATTTTAATTAATACCAGTAAGATAAGAATATAATGAGTCATAATTGTTTTGCTGCTGTGAGTGGAAGAAGTGGAGGCGACGTCACACTGTGTGAGAGAGAGGAGCTGCTGCATAACAGGATTCTGCTTTTTTATTCAGGTTTATATTTTTGTCACCAATGAGGTTCTGGAATTATTGTTTTTGTTTTTGCTCGTTCCAGAGCCACGACTCAGGAGCGAAGGAAGCCTGGCGCATTAAATATGCAACTGATGGGCCCTTTTTTTTGAAAAATTCAAAGATGATCTGATGAAAATTAAAATCATAAATGGGAAATATTTAATCCAGCAAAATGCTCATCATTTTTAAATCACCTTTCTCTGCTTTCACGTTAAATAAAAATACACAAATCCATCTGCTGACCGTTAATCAAACGAAACATTTTTAAATCAAGAAACAATAACCTGTTGTTGTGGATAATAGATTACAGTTAGGTAAGAAAAAGAGTTGAACATAATGGATCCTCATAAATATTTCAGGTTCTTTGCTTCTCTTTTAATGAAAGAACCTTTTATGTTTCACGTCTACAATAACTTAAACTTTTGAAATTACATTGCTCCTTACATGAAGATCAGCATTTAAAAAACAAGTTGCATTTTTTTTTGTTGCTTATGGTCCTAGTTTTTTATATTTTTGGCACCAAGTGATTTCAGTTCAACTATTTACGCATTTATGTTAAAAAGTTTGACCGATTCAGTGTTAGAGAACGTTCTTTTGGAAGATACCTGGAAGTTATGAGGTACAACATTTAATTCCCCTTTGGAGTAGATAAATAATTTCTGAATTTAATTGAATTCAGATGATTCACAGTGAAAACATCTTCCACTAACGTCTTTTCTAAAACAAAGAGGATAAATGTTTTCTTTAAGGAAAAGGAAACAGACACAGTGATCTTCTTACCAAATGCAACTCAGAGATTACTTTGTGTCTTCTGGAGAAAAAGAACAAACTTCTTTTTCAGTGGCTGTTGGAAAAGACAAAGATCTGTCTTCCCTCCCTTCCTTCCTTTTGTTCTTCCTACCTTCTTTTCTTCCCTCCTTCTTTCCTTCCTACCAGTCAGTTACCCAGCAACACAAGCTGAGTTCTAGCATGTTGGATCATTTTCCTTCACGTTTGTACAATGGCTGCCAGAAAAGGCAAGAGTTTTGTTGTCGACTTATCATCTAGAAACTACTTGGTGCATTCTTTTTGGTTGTGCAGGATGCTCCACTTCTGCTTTTCAAAGATGCACAGTTGTACAATTGAGCATCTGTTTCCAGCAGCATTTTAATTGGATTTAAAGTGACAGAGCGCTCGTTCTGAAAGGATTTTGTGCAAAATGTAACAGACATGTTTTATTTCGCCCGTAGATCAATTCTAACACTTTATCCTGTTTATTTCTGTGTTTCCAGGCAAAGCAGAAGGATGGGCGGGATCAGAGCGAGACGTCGGCCACCGTTACTCCCGGGGCCGAGGAGGAGCCGTTCTCCTGGCCGGGGCCGAAGATGCTGCGCCTGCGCCGAACGTCGCAGGGCTTCGGCTTCACGCTGCGCCACTTCATCGTTTACCCGCCAGAGTCCGCCGTCCACAACTCCCTGAAGGTAACGGCGAGTTTTACGGCCTGATGTTGTTTGTTTACCCCCTTCAAAAGACTGAGGAGGTATTTGATCTGCCACTCAAATCAGACGGTTGTTTTCAAGGAATATCATTCAGACTTTAAAACCGCAAAAATATTCCTGAAATCATAACAAACGAGTCAAATATTAGATTTGCAGATGAAAACCAGTAACGGTTCAGAGCAGCACCTGATGGGACCTGATTTAATAGAAATGTGTCTTTTATCTCCAGAAATTAAGAAATCAATTCTCAGATGTGTTTAAACTTTACAAACAGAAAAGTTTCTGTTCTTCCTGAAAGTGAAACTTTTCCCAGCTGTGTGCAGCCGTTTGGTTTCCTGTCACATGGAAGTGTTTTTATTTTCTCACCCTGAATTGCCATAGCGGAGTTTTTCCTTTTAACATCTGAATAGAGTCAGACCTCCATGCATTTCATTTGGGTTTCATGTGATAAACTAACAGATTGTTAGTGTGAATATTTACATATATGTTCTTTTAATAAGCAATCTTAAAAGTGTGGTGTGCTTTTTGTATTCAGCCCCTTTGAGATGTTTACATCAATTTAGCACAGCTAGACACAAAAATAATCTCTGATTCATCTAAAGACTTTGACTGGACCACTTTGAATACATTGCTGCAGAAAAGCATCATAGCACTACCATGGTTCACCTCAGGGATGATCTGTTAAGAGGAGATAATTGTGAAAATGACATAATTTTCAAATAATTTTTAGATGCCTTTCTCTCTAATACCCCAAAATAAAATTCAGAGGACATCAGAAAAAGAATCTGCATTCTTCTTTGATTCTTTTTTATATGATTCTTTTTCTTTGTCTGGTTGATCTGACTTTTCTACCATCTGATTCTTCTTTGATTTTTGTCTAATTCTTCTGTTTCTTTATGATCTGATTCTTTTTATTTGATTATTCTGATTCTTTTGTTTCTTCTACCTTTTCTTTGTTTGACTCTTCTGATATTTTTAATCCGATTCTTTTTCATCTGATACTTTGAATCTTATTGTTCGTCTGATTCTTCTGAACTAAGACTAAATCAAATTCACTGAAGTTGGCTAAAGCTGCTCTAGTCTTTGTATTCCACTCCTCAGTATAACTTAGCCTTTAGTATTAATTTTTGTGAAGAATCTTTACACATCCAAGTTGTGAATCCAAGCCTTAAAGGAAAGTACCAAACGCTGTTTTCTGACCTCCATCGCTGAAGATGTTGGCTGCTCCGTTTTGGCTGGGAGCCATTTTAATCCGCTCTCTGCCGTTCATCCAGGCTAACTGCGGCTAAAGGGGTTTTTGGAAAATGCTAAATGTGTTGTGGGTCGTCTTTCTTATCAAAGTCGGCCTCGTATTATTTTTTGTGAGTGATAATTCAGGATCAGTTGGGTTTACTTTCCTCTGCAGTGTATTTGGTTAACCTCCTCTTCCGACAAAGTTAGCCTAGCGCCTTTTGTTTATAGCTGTTGGCTGTGGTTCTGCATGCTAAATGAGAAGCTGGTCGGATGTTCAGACGTTTGTGTAATCAGAGAAACACTGGACGGTTTCTCCCAGAGGTTTTCTTGAATATTTTAGTCCACGGTGGGACATTTTTGTTTCTTTGTGATCCTCCTGAAGCCGACAGTGAAGTAAGTCTGTTGTTCTGGGAGCATCAATGGGGGATTTTCACACAGAACCAGAGAATCGTCTCCAGCTTGGTCACGTCAAACCAGGACATCTTTCCCAGGATCAGTTGATTAGTGGAGAGTAAACAAACTGGTGGATTCTAATTAATTTGAAGGTCCTGGATCAGGAGCTGGTGTTTTAATCCTTCCTTAAGGATGCTGGGGTTTGCCTAAAGAGGTTCAGCCTTGAAATGCGACTGAGAGGGAAATTAAGGCTTTACGTGTCGACTGGAAGGAAAGCAAAAAACATGCCAAGATTTGGCCTTTTAATCCTAAACTACCCCAACATGTTGTTTTGTTTTCCTCCCTCATTAAATGGATAATCAGATTAACTGTGATTATTTATATAATCGTCATCTTACTTATTAATTGATTAATCATTAACTGACACTGAAACAACGCCAATTGATCAAAAAACAATGCACTCGACGCAGTAATTAAGACAAAATTGTACGAAATATACAATCATTTTGCATTTTATATGTCAAAAATCTACTTTGTCTATAAATATTTTCCACCTAGAACTCTTCCAATGGCAACATTTTCACCATTATGTAGATAAAATCTGTTTAAGCTCCTTTTGCTGTTCAGTTGTTACCTTGCATTGCATTAATGCTAAGTCAATTAGGAAGGGAACTAAACTTTTCACAAACTGATATCAGCACTTTTATTATTTACTTATATTATTTTATTTGTATTTTATTTATATATATTTAAAATGTTGTATGAAATAGGCGTGGTAAAATTGGTTTAAGGAAACATTTTTAGAATGCGCCAATTTTTTAAAATCCAATTAATTGTTAGATTGTCAGTTGAATGTTTGGAAATGTTTGAAACCAAAACGCCAAAAAACACAATCTCATTCCAAACATTGGCCGATACCAACGTCGACTCTGATGTATCGTACTTAACTTCCATCAAAGCACCTTCTGAATTACTGGGAATTTGTGTGAAGTCACAAAGTAATTTCCATAAATTAATGACCAACAGTTTCAATCAACCGTCTGACAGGATTTTTTTCTCTCTGTTTGTTTTGCAGGATGACGAGAACGGCAGCAGAGGTGAGTCCAGAACAAAAACGTGTCTATTTTCTGCCTCCATCTGTGATGTTTGCTGGGTGAGACCTCAGGTGCGTCACTGAGGAAAACAGCTAATCTCATCTCTGCTTGTTGCTCCAATAAATGGGAATTAAATGATTATTGTTGCTCTGATGTATTGCCTCACTTATGAGCAGAAACTGATCCATAGAAAGCTGTTTTGGTTGCAGCTTTATTTCAATTCCACTGATTTAAAAAGGCGGTAATGGTTGTTTTCTGTGTTAAAAGCCACACGACAGCTGTAGCTGCCTCACACGTACGGAAGAACATTATGGCCACCAAAAAAAAAATGTAATCATAAACTCATAATTCTGAATTTTTCTCAGAATTTTCACTTTATCAGAAATATTACTTTTTTCCCAGAATTATGATTGTAAACTAGAAATTATGACAAAATTTAAATGAATACAAATTTTTTGTCAATCTTTCTAAAATCCTAATAAATAATCAAACATTCTTAGGTGTATGTCAGTATATGAAAATAATCACATAAATGTTTATTTCTTGTTATAGGATTTGTAAACCTGCACTTTGGTCTTTCCCAGTTTTACTTGCTAGATCACCTGACTGTATAAACAATTTAAATCATTCTGATACTTTAAAACATGTCTGAATTTTGAGAAAAAAAAGTTTAAATTCTGAAGAAAAAAAGTTTTGAGAAAAAAAAATCTTAATTCCAGTGGAAAAAAAGCTAAAATTCTGAGAAAATAGTTAAAATTCCACAAAAAAAGTCAAAATTCTGAGGAAAGAAAATTTCAGGAAAAAATCGGACTTCTAGAAAAAAAGTGTGAATTCAGAGAAAAAAGTTGAATTTTTTATTTTAAAAAAGTTGGAATTCTGAGAAAGTAAGCCAAAAGTTGAAATTTTGAGAGAAATAATCTCATCATTTTGAGAAAAGAGTTTAAGATCTGAGGAAAAAAGTGAGAATTCTGAAATGAAAGTCATATTTTTCTTAGTGCATATAGTATCTGTGAGGTAGCGTTGCAGTTCGCGGTCTTTGCTCTCTGGCAGCCAGTACTCTGATCCTGGCGCGGCCTCGGCATTCCTCGGAGCATCCGGCTCGTCTTTCCAGCGTTCAGTATGCGGCTCACGTCTGCGGCCCAGCAGGACCGCTCTGCTGCTCTTCATCAGAAACCTTCAAACAGCCACATCAGTCACATCCACATGTCCACACACAGCCGCAAACCTTGCCTCCATGTGCGCCTGCGGTCGTCTGCAGAAACTTTGAATGTTCCCCCTTTCTGAGTTGCTTATCTGGGTTTCTTGAAGTGTTTCAAAATAAAAGCAAACATCGGTTATTTCTTGGAAATAGCTGCACAGAGAGGAAGATAATCCATCTTTAGCTTTTTGTTTGTCTTGGAAAGCTCCCAGCGCCCCGACTGGGGGAGGAAGTCGGCTGTTTCAGCAGTTGTTGAGTCACCAGTAGGCAATGAAAGTGTAAAAAAAAAAAAAAAAAAGTCCCTGGAAGTGAAAGGAGGGTCAGTGGAGCATCTGACATAAATCTGACCTCAATGTTCTCCAACGGGAATCAGAGAGATTCCTGTAAGTGTCCCTCATCCTCCCTTGTGAGTCTGTGGTGTCACATTCCTCCTCTCACCCCTCACCAACAAAATTAACTCCTCCATGTTCTCCCTTCCCTCTCATCGTGTGATTTCTCCATGGACGGGAACGTTTCTGAGCGTCCTGGGAGATATTTGGGTTGTTTTCAACCTGCTGACAGGTCGGTACCGCCACAGGGTTTCAGAAACTAAGGTCAGGAATGTCGGGAATTCCTGGAAAAAGTCAATAGATAAGTAGATAAACATTTCATATGTTGCAACCTGATATTTACTTACATGGTTTAACTTTAAGGGTTTATTCCCACCAGCTGTGTTTAGTCCGCTTTAATCCAACACCAGTTTGTAGAAAGTCCGGTTTGTTTGGGAAGGTGTGAATGCGCAATCTAACCACAAAGGTGAACTCTGGTCCGCCTCCAAATCTCGGTATTAGTTTCAGTAAAGTGAACTCTGATGCAGTTTGAATGAACATGTGAATGCCAAATGGACCAGAGATGACTTAAAAAAGCAGGAGCTGGTCTAAAATGCAGGGCATTCTGGGTAAAAACAGCCAAAACAAATGCGCATGTAAAGCTTTAAATGAAAAATGACTTGTGGTCTTCAAGCAACGACAAAGAGAAACCTACAACACCTAAAATCTGACGTTGTGCCTTTGTTTACATTTTGTGAAGAAGGAATTTGAGATCATTGTCTTTTTCTGGGATTCTCATGTTGCTTCCTTCTGTGGTTCTTGGTGCAGCGCCCCCACAGGCGAGGAGGGGAACAACTTTTTCAAAAGGTTTTGTTAGTTTGACACAGTGCAGTAGGAAAGTGAACCACAGCAGCTGAAAGTGTAACAAATGTTGCAATTTTGGTCCCAAATTGAACCGAGTCTAAAAGACTGTCAATAAGACCAAACCTTTTCCGGTTGCTTTTCCTTCCACAAACTTTTAACAATATTTTGCTGGAATTTTGACCCATTCCCCCTAAGTATTGCGTCTGTGTTGCATTTGCCTGACTTGTTTGTCCCATTAGTGTCCAAGCTGGAACTTACTGGCTGATGCGTTGAGATTGTCCGTGTTTCCTTGCCTGTCCTACCAGGTGCACCAGTCCCTCCTGCAGCAGAACACAAGCCATTTTAGTCATTTTAACCTTCGATATTTAATCCACAGTGAGGAACGTCGTCATGTCTTTGATTTCTGTGGTTTCTCTTGTTGATATGCACGTTGTTGTGGTTGCTATGTGACGACTGCGGCTGCAATCGGTCCAAAACATTCATAACGTCAGCGACAAGCTATGTGAAGTCGCACCGAAACGCGGACGGATAATACGAGCCATGTGCCTGGTGGTTTTAGCGTTCAGGTCAGCGCAGCAGGTGGGGGTCGGCTGACTGCATGGTGTTGCCGCTGGACGCTCTTCAATCCTCCAGAAAGAACAAAACGCACAAACAAGCTTCAGTTCTTTAAAATCTATGAAAACCAAGCTGGAGTTTCTGAGTTTATTTGCTTTCACAGCAGTTGTGTACATACCAAGAGGCTGCTATTCTAAATCTAAATTTCTGTCGTTCTCCCTCTGACTGATCCAGTCCCACTGTGTGTTTTAACAAGCTGTTGAAGGGTAAAATCCCAAATTTCTTTTTTTCTTTTCTGCAATGCTTGTTAAACCGCACAGCAAGAGGAGCAACACACAAAAAAATTCCCCATCTGTTAAAATATTTGCTTTTCTTTCAACATGAGTCTCTTCCCAACTTTATTTCCTCACTTTTCTCTCCTTTTCGTTTTTGCTTGGATTTCAATTTGTTCCCATAAAGTCTGCGGAGGGAATGCGAGGCAGCGCAAGCAAACAGGATTCCTGTTTTCTCCAGTGAGCCTTTTCAAACATGCCTCGCTTTTCTCCTCTTCCCTTGTTATCCAGTTTCTTCATACCAGTATTTGTCTGTTTGTGCTTTCTGGATGTGAACAGAGACTCTACACAATCATCCTGAGTGGAAATGTAGAGAAGGGCTGAAACAATTAATCAAATACATTGTGATTAATTGATTATTGAAATAATTGTCAGCTAAGTTAGCAAGTGATTAACCAATTTAAAAAAAGGCTATTTGCTGCAAGAACAATATATTTAGAGCAATAATTAAGTAAAAAAAAAATCACATTTTGCATATGAGGCAAATAAAAATAATTTGTCTGTAAATATATTCTCCCCAGAACTCCTCAGCTTACTAAATCTTATTTAATTTTTAGAATGAAATAATATTTAGTGGTAAAATGACAAATTTGTAGAATGTGCTGATTTTTTTTTTATCCGATTAATCATCACAATAATTGATTAATCGATAACCAAAATAACAATTAGTTGCAGCTCCGATATACATTGATCACTTATCTTAACAGTTATGATTTTGGAGTGTGGGAGGAAGCCAAGTACCCAGAGAGAAAACATCTATTTAGTGGAGTACAGGCATAAAGATAAACAAAAACTATCACTTGGTACATCTTTGGTGACTTCAGTCAGTTCTAAACAGTTTTTTTTAATTCCTGTAGGAATTGAATTTTATTATGTTCTAAAATTTTTAAAAGTAGACATTTAGGAGTTGACAAGAGATTTTGGGAATTAGAATCAGAAAATATGGTAAGAAGTTTCACTTGCTGCTTTTCAGTATGAAGTAAAATCATTTTTTATGTGAATTAATTCTAATTTTATTGAATATAGCAGATGCAATTAGTGCAACATAATAAGACACAAACTGCTGTAAGTGTTATAATAGTTAGACATCAGCCATCTTGGATTTTAAGGTCAGGTTTGGTGAAAACCATTTTTTTCACTCAAAAACCTGAAATCAAAGCTTCTTTCTATTAGTTTAGTCATTTAATGATAATCTGATCCTAGTTTTTGTATTTATCACTCATTCTGTCACATTGTAAATTAAATATCAGAACATACCAAGAAGCTGGCACTCAATTGTTCCTAACAGTTTTGAAAATTAATTTACGTTTTGCACATTCAGTCCTTTGCATTCTTTTTTCCTTTTATTGGCTCTCTAGTTTTGCTAGGTACAGTTGGATAATCTTTTCCAGGGAATGTTTAGCTTATTTTCAGTTTTCCTGGAAATAGATTTGGCATTTGAGGCTGAAATTAAACCAACAAGCTCCAGATGTTGGAGCTTCCCCTGCTTGAACCTAATCTCCCTTGTTTTGTTGTTTGCCTCATTTAGCAAAGAGAAAACAAATCATTGGACATATTTTAGCTGCATGTATCAGTGTGATGTTAATTTCTTCCACCCAAGTGGGTTTTGGTATGTGTAATTCATCTGAAAAAAGTGATGGAAAGAACTCTCCCACCTTCCTGTTCTGGTGGGAAAACATCAGGCATGTATGTGTTTTACTGTGTTTTGAAGGGAGTGTGTGTGAGGACAGATGTAGCAGCGTAGTCAGTTTGAGGTTTGAACACAAATTTTTAAAGTCAGACACACAGTTACAAGAAGTTTGGGTAACGATTTTACAACCAGGTTTGATTCCTTGGCAGAATTTGGGTTTAATCAAACTCTAATTTGTTGGCTAGAAGATCTGTTTTGTTATATGCAGGCCAGAGACCGCCCCAAAAGCAGGAAGTGGACTACAACGCTGGGCATTCTGGGTAAATACAACCAAAACAAACGTGTTAGCAGGAGAAATGCTTCATAGTCTGATACCACAACTGCTAAAATCTGGCGCTGCTACACTTTGTTTATGTTTTGTGAAGGAAGATGTGTCAATGTCTTCTTCAGAGGTTTCTGTGTCATTGACTTAACTGGTTCTTGGTGCAGCGCCACCACAGGTGAGGAGGGGAACATGTTTTTCGAAAGTTTTGGTTCATTTGACCCAGTACAGTTAGAAAGGGAACTGCGCCAGTTGAAAATGTAACAAATGTCGCAACTTTGGTCCCAATGGTGCCAAACGTGAAAACAGCATGAGTTTGTTTCTGAATTTACTAGACATTTTCCTAAAATTTTTGTCACCTGGGCCAAATTTGTCAACTGAGAAATGACATTTTTAAAAACTAACGTTACCAAAATGTGTTTTTTGTTGTTGTCACCTAATCAACAATAAACTAAACATGACATATTTTTATTAAACAAATAAAGTAATTCAATATTTTTTAAATCCCGACTTCAAATAATTTTTGCATGTTTTCCTTGTTAAGTGAAATGTAAGCAGTTTGTTTCTTATTTTGGGCTTCATTAAGAAAAACAGAAAAAATATTTTGTCTGTCTGCAATAAAGACAAACTCTTGGTCCGTCTTCACGTCAAAACATTTTCTGTATCCAGATAAGTTGTAATGTAGGAATTAAAGACAGTTTTGGGTGCGCCAATGTGTTTTTTAGAGTATGAATCAATGAGTAGACCAAGTCCTAGTTACCATGACACAGGAGTAAAACAAGAAAAGATGATCACCTTGTGTTGCATGTAAGATTTTTGTACGTAGATTTTAATTTAAAAGTCATATTTTTGTCCTAATTTATTTGATTTGTTAGTGAATTGTGGTCGCGGGGCTGCACAAAATCACTGCAATGGCCCACAAATGGCCCACACACCTCACTTTGAACACCCCCGGTTTACAGTGTTCAGCTATTAGAGGCGTTTGACCATGTTTGATGGTAACGGTTCAGTGGTTTTTGAGGGAATTTCGCTTTAATTTCATGTAAAGTGTACTTGTGCTTTGACCTTCCCACACTAAAGACGGCGCGTTCGTTGCCAGAATTTTACGCTTCCTGTCATCAGGTTTCTCCTGTGGATCCGACCTGCTGCAGATAATCATCTAAACATAAACAAAGGCCTTCTCCCTGGGCTGGAAGGCCCGAGCACATGTGCGGCATGTCGTCTACATTCGTACATCTGCATGTGGTTGCCGATGCTTGTAAACGTGAGAGCGCTAATGCTAATGTGGAAGCGGGCTGTGTTTTTACGCCGAGGTTAATGCAGGGATTTGGCAGCAGACCCAGATCTCTGTAGAATAATATTATCTAACCCAGAACAACATGGGAGCGGCCGGCCGGCCGGCCCACACAGCCGGGCCCAGCTGGGCGGCGGGGCCAGCTGCCAAACCAGAGACCAGCGCTAACTGGGAGCTGCTACCTGCAGACAGGAGACCAGTTAGAGTCAGGCTGTCAGCCTTCCATACATCCATCCAACTGTTCATCCAACCGTTGGCTGATCATCCATCATTTTAAAGTTTCCAAATTGAAAACCTGATTCCTGACTTCATTGTCTCTTGGTTTGTTCCCAGTTTGGGAACCATTAGTTATTTTAACCTCCTGAATGTTTATGAGCGACAAGATCAGAGGAAACATTAAGCTAGCAGAATTTTAGATTTATTTAATTAAATCAGGTGACATCAGTTCTTTTGGGATGGATGGAAGGAAAGAGGAGCAGTGCAGCTCTGAGCGCCCCCCGGTGGACGGCTTGGAGAAAGATTCAAACGCCTGTAAATAAAAATAACTGGTGGGTTTTTGCTGCTACATTTCTAACACTAGATCAAAATCACTTTTACATTGAAACGGTTATTTTTAATGTTTTGTTCAAACATCATTGCCCAGCGAGTCGATGTCAGTGTAATAAATGATTAAAGTGTTGGCTCTGATGATATGCAGTGACCTAGTTCTTCAAACCGGTTCTCTTTCTGCCCGAGTTTCACGTCTTACAATCTCAAATCAAAGCAAACTATAAAATCTGAATCTCCTGTTTCACTCGGGTGAAGAAAAATAATAATTTTATAAATTAGGAATGCTTTTCTTCTGCTGTAAAATATTGAATAATTAATTATCTTGCGTCATAAAAGCTGTGATATCCTGTTTAACTAGAGATAGAAGCAGTTGGGTTTTGGTGCTACAAATATTTTTATTTTTATTTACATATTTATATATAAATACTTTATTCATCCTCAAAAATTACAGAAATATTCTCATCCATGTATTTTAAAGCGTTGTTGTTGTTGTTGTTGATGCTGTGGGCAGGAAAGAGCTCCAGCAACAGTCAGTCTTACAACAAATCTGTAGAGGCCTCTGACTGAAGATTGCTGTGGACAGATTCATGACGTGCTATCAGTTCAATATCTGTGAAGCAGAGATGAAATTTCACAGCATAATATCCCAGATTACAGCATGTTGTAAATTAAATAATCTGTCAGTGGAATTTGTACTTTATAACCAGATTATTATGGATTAAAAGGTTTACAAATGCCACTTGAAAGCATCATTATCAGACTCATTTTTTGTAACAAATACCTCCTTCTGAAAACACCAGTGTTTAAACAATTGCAACTGCTTTGAACTTTTTAATCAAAATGTAATTCTGCTATTTGGAGCAGCTGAAGTCGCCGTTTGCGTTTTTAATTAAAACCAGCTGCAGTTTATGCTTTTACTAAGACACTTTGGAGCATTAAAAATGTCCAAAGCTTGAGATTTCCACATGTAATCCCGCTCATCCAGCTCCAGGCGTGGAAACTTGCAGAATCCAATTTGTGCTGAAGAGTTCGGTGAGGTTGGAGAGAGACGTGAGGGGAGGAGTGTGTTTGTAGGCAAGATGCACGTACAGCATGCAGCATGCGCTCCACTGCAGCATGCGCTCCACTGCAGCATGGCGGGTTGCAATCAGAAAGAGTAGATCATAAAATGTCATGCTGTTTCTGAGAAAATCTGCGTCAGTCTGGGAGTTAAGGATTCATCTTAAAATGAATGTATGTTTTTGCTTAGTACGTTAGCTAGAAATAAATTCACCTTGCAAAATCGAAACTGTTATTTTATATTGTCTGCAGTCAAATCTGGTACCAGATGCTCTTCCTTTAGTTGTTTCTAAAGTGGTTGAGTTGTTTTATTAGATGCAGACATTCTAAACGTTACGTTCGTCTGCTGCCGTATCATGCCAGCCCACAAGAGGGCGGCAGAGCTGTGCAGTTACACAGAAAACACAGTGAATAAACAGCGACGAAGGGCATCTGTTGATTGATTTTACTTAAGTAGGACAGTATATACAACTTCTCACAGGTTTTTTTTATCCATTACTGTTTCAAACTGTTAAATTGAAAAACTAGTGACTCTGCTTCAAAATGTCCTTACATATTTGACTTTTTATAACTTCATTAAAACTGAGACTGCAATTAATGATTATTTCAGTAAACGATTATTTTGACAATTAATTGTTTAATCGTCAAAAATAGTTGTTTATTAATCTGAGGGTTAATTGATAAATCAGTTTTGAAATGTGCACATTCTACTGATTTTTCACATAACTACTGAAACCTTTTTTTAAAAAAAAACAAAACATTACATTAAAAAATGCAAATAAACAAATAATTTGATCCATTTTTCAAAAAATAAGAAAATGAACATTTTAAAATAACATTGCATTCATTCCTTCAGTGAATTTGAACCAGTTGAAGCTCAAGCTGTGCCACTTGAAAAGTTTTAGGTGAAGCGTTGCTACAAGCAAAATATTTTTATCATGGATGCAAAGTCTATGCATATTTCAGTGACGTTTGGTGAGGATCATAGCTGGTGAGGCTCGGCTCCACCTACCTCCCCTGAGTCCACGTCACTGGCGTAATTACCACAGTTTTGACTTATTTACTGCTCTTCATGTGATGTTTTTTCAGCAAGTAGCCTTTTAAAATTTTTTAATCAATTAAAAACTATTATTTCACAAATCGATTAATCATGAAAAATATGATTAATCGTTTTGGCTGTAATTAAAACACTTACAAATCCTGTCAATTGGAGCTTATTTTTATATTTTATGATTGAAAAGCTTCAGTTGTCTGCCTGTTCTTCCATGAGTCAAACAGCAAGTCAGAAAAAGTGAGGCAGTGAGGCCTACCTGTGTCTCCTCGCTCTGACCAATCATCTTCATGCCTTTTCTCTCTCTTGTCATCGCCAGGGAGACAGAGGAACCGCCTGGAGCCAATGGACACCATTTTCGTCAAGCAGGTGAAGGAGGGAGGCCCCGCCCACGGAGCTGGACTCTGCACAGGTACACAGCATCATTTGTCATGATTGGAAATTGCCAAGCAAAACAAAAAGGAGGTAGAAAATAACAGATGGCTGAACAAAGTCTAACATTCTTTTCTCCTGCATTCTTACCTTTTTTCTCATCTTATTTATACATGAATCAGTTCTAATTATAAGCAGCGAGGATAAAAATACTTGAAGTGTTGAGACAATGAATCAGCAGCGTAAAGTTTAAAGCGAAGGTGATGTTAGGAGTGCTGGGTTGCCAGGTCAGCACGCTTCTTACAGGAAATGTTACACTAAGTGTTCTGGACAAGCCTTCGTAGCTGTCTGCTTTTATCTGTCTCCTCTTCTGGGAGAAGGGAGTGTTTTCCCACATTTATCCGGTTTATCCCCCAAACTCACCTCGCCTCGCTTCCTGTTGGAGATGGCCATCTTCAGAAACCCTGAACTTACTGTCAAATAAACACATTGTTCCCTTTAGATCTGAGCAGAAGTAATATATGTTTGTGCTGCATGGTCTCTCTGCTCAGTAATTATGTGAAGTGTTTTTCAGTAGCAGGTTATCTCAATTATTCCCTTAATTCCTTCCAGGGGATCGGCTTGTGAAAGTGAACGGAGAAAGCATCATTGGGAAAACTTACTCCCAGGTCATAGCCCTGATCCAGAACAGGTAGGACTGCCACCAGGCGGAGCCTTGATTTTAACGTTTCATCATTTTTACAAGCCAAAAAAATCCCCAAATATCTTGAAAGTATGATTAATCTGTTGATTATTCTCATGATTAATCGATTAATCAAATAAAAATGAAAAGATTTTTTTAAATTAACTACATAAGCCTTTTTTATGGCTTGATTTTTATAAGTAGCTTAAGGTTTTAAATGAACTAACAATTATTTTAGTCACTGATTAATCTGTCAATTATTGAGATGATTAATCAATTAATCAAATAAAAATGGGTTTTACAAATTTTTTTATTAACCACTTAAGTATTTTTTTTTAAGTTTAGACATTTAATACAAAAAGTGGCTATTAAAAGTGACTTAAGTCTTAAAGTAAAATAACAGTTATTTTAGTAATCGATTAACTGATTAGTCAATTAAAAAATTATGCATTTTGCAGATTTTTTATTAAACCACTTAAGCCTTTTTAGACATTAGAAATAAGTAATTAATTAGATAATTAAACAAATAATTCAATAGTTTTTCTAATTAAGAAAATGTATATTTTTATCTTAACTGTAAAATGTATATATTTTTTGTACAGTTTTGGCTTAATTACTGCTCTGAATACGTTCTTTTTTCCAGTAAATGGCCTCTGAGTCTGAATACTCAAGTTAACGATTAATCCATGGCTAAATTAGTTGACGATTATTTCACTAATTGATTAATCTGATTAATCGTTTCAGCCCTACATAAAACACAAGCTTTCTGTTGTGTTTTGCAACACAGGCAGTTTAAAAAAACACTTTTCTCACAAAAAAATCCTCTTTACAAAGAGGAAGGAGGAACAAAATGGCAAACTGGCAGTAAAATGTAAAAAAAAACAGATGTTCAGCAATCCATCAACAACTGATTGATAAATGCATATTTTTATTGTAAAGAAAATCTCAACACATACATTTGCATCACCAACCGTCTCGCTTATCCTCTGCTGACACCTTTAAAGCTTTTTGTTGGATATAAAATCAGCAGACTGGAGATTTAAACTTGAGTTTTTTTGTAATTTTTGTATCCGTTTCCTCTGATCCATCAGCGATGCCTCGTTGGAGCTCTGCGTGATGCCAAAAGATGAAGACATTTTGCAACTGGTATGCATTTGTTCTGTTATTACTACAAATTCACCTCATTAGTCCAGATTTAATAAATATTTTAAAATAAAAACTGTTTAAGCGACAATCCATCAGTAATGATTCAGCTCCCATTTACTGGAGCAACAAGCAGAGATGAGATTAAGCGGTTTGCTGTGTTTTCCTCAGTGAAGCACCTGAGGTCTCACACAGCAAACATCACAGATGGAGGCTTCAAATAAGCAAGTTTTGTTTTTGTTTTGTTTCCTTTTTTTATTATGTAAGTTGGCCTTACATGCCTTGATCACAGATTTAACATTTTGCTGTGGCAGGAATTTTCAGTCCTTTGTTATTTTGTGGAATTTTTCTATCAGGCAAAAGTTTGAGTTGCACTCAAATGTTTTCATTGCTAAGATGCTAATATACTTTTTGCAGCTAACTAGCTTATTTTGCATCTGTTATAGATAAATTGGATGGACAATGTTCATTTCTGCCACTGGCTTACTTCTGTCACCTACATTTAAAGTTTTTATCTTAAATTTTATCCAAACTGGCATTAAAAAGTTCTTAAAAGTCTTAAATTTAAACCCTGCAGTGATTCAGTGAGCTTACAGAGAAAGCGTGTTAGCATGGATCACGACCAGCTGGGGGAGATTAAAGGTGTGGAAGTCGTCAGAAAGCAGTCGTATCGCAGTGAAACCAGGAGCCGATCGAGACTTCATGCTTCACGCCGTTCTACCGATCAGAACCGTGTCGTAATCCAGTCTGGGTCCAGGGCCACACAGACGATAAAGATATTTCCACTTGAAACTTAACCAAAAGTATTTTGTAAGATTTTATTTGTTTGTTTTTTCCAGTGCCAATGCTACTGTTTTCTTTACTGGGATTTTTTCTGACAGACCAACACAGACTAGTGAACAAACCATGAGTGGATATTTTGAATTATTTCCCGAGAGACGCTGAGCCCAGTCAGTAGGGAGTGCAGCTGCAGTCAGCTGACTCCAGTTTACAGCAAACAAACATCCAGCAAAGTGCGCCGCCGTGCAGAACGTGCGATAAACGCCAGTGAGATGGAAAAGCCTGGGGAGGCAGAAAGCCCTGAGTAAGACGACAACAGAGGAAACATAGCAACTCTGCGTGAGAGAAGAGGCGGCGTTGGTTTATGGGGAACAGATGAAGGGAGACGTCATGGTGCATCTTTAGCACAATTAATCAGGTCACCAAAATCACGCATTTTTATTCTGTTTTAGCACATTTGGCTCTTGAAAATTGAATTTTGCTTTCCGGTTCAAGGATGCAAACTTGTAGGCAACTGATTCACAAAATTAGGAGGAAACTGCTGCTCTAAAACCAGCTGAAATAAATTCAGACATATTTTATTTAACCCAAACCAGGATGTCCACACATCCTTAAAAAGTCTTAAATTAATTTCTCGTAAAAAAAAAAAAGGACTTGAAGTGTCTTAAATTTTTTTTTGAAAGTTGAAGAAGTAAATGATTTAATCTCGTATATTCTACATATTTTGTTTTTCTGCCACACTGACTGGAGACTGTTGAGGCTACCGCTAAGTAGCTGCTAGCATGTTCTTAACAGCTAGCTTGCTAGCTTTTCTGCATCTGCCATTTGGTTGGCCAAAATTTGTGCATTTCCAAAGGGATTCGTGTCTTAATTTCATCACTAATGGTCTTAAAACGTTTCAAATTTGAGTTTGTAAAATCTGCTTTTTTTATTCAAATGTGGATGATTTCAATTGAAAATATTTCAAAAATGTTTTTTGAAATATTTATGTAAATATAATTTTTTTAAATAAAGAAAATGATTTACTTTAAATATATTTTTAGAATTTTTTATTAAGAAATAAATATTTTTTATCTTTAAATAAGTTTTTTTTTATTTTAAAAAATAAATAATTATTACAAATTGTAAACTGGAATCATTCTCAATCAGCCAGAGTCTAATTTCTCACCTCTATATCTGTAACATTGTTTCTCATGTCTTCATACACTAAAAAAAAAACACAAAATCTAACCAAGACGTATTTTTAGTTTAGTTTCTAGTGCAAATATTTTAGCACACTTAAAGTAAGATGAAATTAACTTACAAGTGACGCTTTAGAAAGATGTATTTACTTGTTTAAGTAAATATATCCTCGATATTGATATTTTTAAATAGTGCTAGTTCCATTGATTATTTTATTGATAATAAAACATTTTTTGTTATTTGTGAAATGTTAAGCACTTTTTCATCAATATTAAGGAATTATTTACTTTAATCAAGTGTCTATTGTTGCTAAAAGCTACTTGTAAGTTATTTTTGTCTTATTCTATTTTTGAGAAATTACAATAGAAGCTAAACTAAAAATATTTGGTAATACTTTGAGTTTTTGCAGTGTACTTACCTGTCGACCTTTTCCTAATCCTTTCTTTCTCTCTTTCCCTGCTTACCTAACCTGCGAACTGCAGTTTTCCAGGGATATCACTGCTCTGGTAAGAAGGGAAACTCTGCCAAGCTAACACCTCTCCCCCCTCCTCCACCTCTTGCTGGAAGTGGAACCAGTAGAAACCAGTGTTTTCCACCAGTATCTGTGTTTCTGGTTGAAGCTTTGTTGGTCACGCTTGGTTTTTCTTTCATTGCGCTGACATTATCCTTCAGCAGACCACAAACATTCCCTCCCTGTACTTTCCACAATCAGGACATTGGTTTGTGTTTAACTGGAGGAGTTAGGATCCAGAGGGAGCTGTAACCTGACACCACAGGTAGAGCCGGCGTCGTTGATTAAAGTCCAGTTACTCTCTCTGCCTTTCATTTTCTCATCAGCGTCTGCGCTGAAAGGATGAGGAGATACAGTATGTCAGCATTGGATACAAATGGGAGGTTTTTCCCTTTTCCCACTCAGAAGGTTTTATTTATGAGATTTAATTAGCGGTTTAGTTAAGGTTAAATCAAAGATGCTAACAGAAGTCGCGCTGTTTGGGAAAAACAAAAAACGGAAACTCGGATGGGCTCGCTTCTTGTGCTTCAGGCCGGGCTCTCCGGTACAGAAGGTGGGTATATCTGCAGGATTTTTTTCCATTTAATCCCATCATTTTGGGTGAAAACCGTTAAAACTATTAGCTGCTTTTCTGCCTTCATCCAGCTGTCAGTCAGGCATTGATTGTCCTCCCCTGATAATCTCATCAGCTCTCACAAAGACCACAGAGGAGGTATTTTTAGAAACGAGCTGAATCTGTAGAAACGAGCAGCGAGGCACATGGAGATGGAGAAAGCAGGAAATGTATCCAGGAATTTAAAGAGGAATGGCGACGGTTTCAGATTAACTCCAGATCATTTTTTACAGGACCGTTTGAACCTGGTTCACATTTTCGATGTTTTCTCTCTTTATTTTATTGAGATTTTGTGTTACAGTTTTGCATAATTGGTAAGAGGAAGTGAAAGGACTTAAGGTGTTAAAAGAAAAAATCTGAAAGGTGTGGTGTGCACTTATATTTAACCCCACAATAAATACTTTCTAAAGCCACTTTCCAGCATCTTTAGACAGTTGTATAAAACTCCATCAGCTTTCTGCATCTACTTGCCCTGATTCTCAATTTAGTGTTTAGTTGTAGACTTTAACTAGGCCATTTCATTATATGTTCTATATATGGCTGTCTTTGCACTTCAAAAACTCAAAATTTTACAAAGTATTTTTGGTCTAGTTTTAGGTGCCTCAGTACACTTTAATTCAGCTAACTTACAAATAGCATTTTAGCAAGATATAAGACCTTGTTTTAAGAAAATAATTTCTTAATTTTGTTCCACTGGCAGATTGTCATTTTACATAAGAGATTTTTTCCATGTAGGTAAAATAATCTGGCTTATTATCTTGTTGAAAAGTTAGTTTTGTCTTGTTTCAAGTGTACTAAGATATTTGCAACAGAAACTTGACAAAAATACTTGTAATAATTTTGTGTTGTGTTTTTATTGTCGTTGGTGGTTGTGCAGGAAGCTCCTCTTTTGCTTTTCAAAGATGTACCATGGTATAATTGTGCATGTGTTTGCAGCCATTTTTGTGCGTGAGTGTAAACACTTATTTCGATTTAAAGTGGTACGATGTCATAAAGTTTTTATTCAGAAAGGAGATTAAAATCTCATTATGTAAGAATCATTTTGTGCAAAAAATTTAACAGAAATGTTTTGTACAGACCACAAACACATCCTCAGCTGTTCCAGGAAGCATAAGAGGTCACCTCTAATGGATATAAGGGGAAATAAGACAGATGCACATCACACTTTTTTCAGATTAACTGCTTCCTTTCTTCACAGTTTTTGGTTATTTCTTTGTACTCTAAAGTTTTTTTCTTCTACAGTGAGAAAATGTGAAAAAGTTCAGAGGATTTAGGTGTTTTTATTCCAGGGCTCTGTAAATGTTGTCGTCTGATCTCTTGCAGGCGTATTCCCAGGATGCATACCTCAAAGGAAATGAGGCGTACAGCGGAAATGCCCAGAACATCCCGGAGCCGCCTCCCATATGCTACCCTCGGATCGAGCTGAAGGCGGCGATGGCGCCGCCGCCCGACCCGGGGCCCGCCAGGCGACCGGTCCCCACGGACAACAGCAGCCGGCCCGAGATCCCTTCCGTCAGCAACGATGGCACCAGGACTCCGGCCGATCCAGTGGACCGGGGGTCCCGGTTGGCTCGGGCCGGACCCAGCCACCGGACCGAGGAGAACCGGTACCGCTCCCCAGCAGACCGACCCAGACCTCTCGCCACAGGATGTCCGCCGTACCCAGAGCCGTTCTCGCCGCTGGTACGAGCGCCGCTCGCCGCCATGTCGACGGACACGTTCTCCACCGCCACCTCTCCCACCGCCAACCACTGCTCCCCGTCGCCGACCACCTCACCCCACCAGAACATCGACTGGCGGACCTACACCACCTACAAGGACTACATCGACGCCAAGCGGCTGCACACGTACGGCTGCCGCACCATCCAGGAGCGCCTGGACAGCCTGCGAGCTGCTGCCAACTCTGCCTACGCCCCGAAGGCCGCCAGCGCCGCCGCCTCCCAGGTCCGACAGAGGAGCGCCTCCAATGAGCGCGGGCCGGCGGACCCGACCGCACCGCTGCCGCTCCGCAGCGCCTCCCATGAGCGGCTGGGCGGCCCGCCAGACAGAACTTCCCGCCACTGGCCTCGGAGCGCCTCTCAGGATGCTTTACCGTTCCCCGGCGCCGCCCGGGTCGCAAAACCCCGAGCCAGGTCCTGCGACCACATCAATCACAAAATGGAGGACAAACAGGAAACAAGCAGGAGGAGTTTACCTCCTCCAAAGCCGGAGCAACGGCTGTCGAACTCGCCTGATGTTGCGAAAGGTACAACAGATTCTGCACTAGCGGTCAGAGTGGACGGCCTCATAATGAGGCCTTCGCGCCTGCCCGTCAAAAACTCCCTCTGCGACCTTTCCCCCGCCTCGTCCGCCATTAAAACCACAGAGCCTCTCCGAGACCAAAGAGCCAACGCTGTGGGGAACCACCTGGGCTTCTCCCCGCTGAACCTGCAGCTCCGTGGCCGAGCCGACAGCCTGAAGACAGAGAACCGGTCTGAGTCGGGATTAGCTTCCAGGTCATCGTCCTGCTCCGGCGCCGCCTCCAGACTGCCCACGCTCAGGCCGATGAAGAGCGAAGTCCTCACAATATCCTCAACTGCCGCCGTAGCCCAAAAACCAGTCGTCAAGGAGACGCCAGAGCGGACTAACGGCGGTCTCTCAGAGGGCGTCGAAGGACCGGATGCCACAGTTGTTGTCCTACGAAGAGACAAGACCTCCGGAGTTGCCCGCGCCCGGCCTCCGTCCTACGTCATCGACAGGCAGCGAGAAGTAAAGTCGCCGCCGCTATTGAAGGCGGGATCAGCGGACGCAGCGATATGCTGGGCGTCCAATGAGACGCTGCTCAGGAGGCTGGGAGACACGAGGCACAAATCCGGCTCCAGCAACCTGAATGACTCCCTGGACTCCATCCCCTTCATAGGTGAGGCAGCAGCAACATGTCCGACTCTAACAGGAACTTCCTGTTAGCAGAACAGGAAGTTCTCTAACAGGTACTTTCTGTTAGAGACGCTGATCTGTCAATGCTGAGCTAATCAGATTGATACGACTCATCAGTAACCAGTTCTTCTGATTGGATGTTCAGGTGCAGGCATTCATCCGTCCATCTGTCCATCCATCATCCATCATTTTTCCATCCATTCATCCATCCTTCTCTCATCCATCCATCCATCTGTCCATACATCCATCCACAGGGACTTTTTGAACACTCAGATATAAGTTAATTTTCTTTTGGGATAAATAAAGTATTTGTAACTGTATTTAATTAAATTTAATAGAAAATGCCACTAAATTTTGGAGAAAATTTTAAATTTAGCTTTAATCCTCGTCTGATGGCTGTTTTACATATTTACTGAGAAATTTGCTTAAATCTAGATAAGAAAACTGGAGACATTCTTTTGTCTCCCGTCTAGATTTGCTTGTCAAAGTGGAGAAATTAAAAAAACCTTTCCTCCCAGCATAACAAAAAGTCTTCTTATAAAGTCAGAGTTTGCTGCCAAACACAACAAAGAGCTCCTTGGAGTCCTTTTATCATCCTGGCTCGTTATTGGCTCCACTTTGTGGTGTTTTCCTGCTTTGGTTTCATATTTACTCTACAGCCAGGGGAACCAAGAAATCAGAAAAAAAAAAATCCTCAGAATATTTAGTGGCATGTTTTGCGCCTTAATTTGCCGTAAAGTTATTGATATTTGATCTCTGTGATCGCCCAGCAGCTCTGACCCAGAAATGACTCATTCCTGACATATTTGTCATCTGTGGTTGTTTCCTCCTTTGCTTTTCGGGCGTGCCATCCTGCTGACGGCTCCTATCGGCCTTTATGACAGGGTGATTTAACGCCGACAGGCTGCTCATGTAAAAGCGAAGCCGTCTGGCAGCTTATCGGGCAGAAACGTCACGCTGACTGCTTCGTTTTGTTTTAGCCGTGCTGGCTCTTATCGCAGCGTTTTATTGCCGTCTGTTAATGTTTTTATTCAAGTTGAGGCATCAGGTGAAAGTTCAGCTTTGTGCTGGTATTTAAACTCCTGGATTGCAGAAAGTTTGAAGAGGAACAAAAGAGACTTTAATAAAAATATAAATCTTTGTTCTTCCACAGTGAGAACATAAACTTTATTTTTTCAGTCAGGTCAGTTACAAGTTTATTATCGAATCCCACACAGGAGAATTGTTCAAAGAGTTTGAGAAAAATAATCTAGACAAAAACACGGAGAGGGGAAAAAGAGAAAACGGCCATTTTAAATAAACTCAAGATCAACATCAGTTCAGATATCAAAAAGTGAGGAAGAGAAGAAATGTTTGAAGTGGTTAATTATTGGAGTGAGAAAACAGAAAGTTATTATTAATTTAAATCAAACATTTGCTTTTAGTTTGATCAACTGTTTCTTGAACTTATCTTTATTTATTTATATGTGTGTTAAGTTTGACAATTTATTTTGAATTGCAAAACCTTAATTGTTAATATGATTTTCAATGGCAAATGTTATTGTAAATTAACAAATATGTATTTATTCTTTAGTAATTACTTATATCTATATTTAACTATTATATATAAGTTAATTATAACTATATATTTATATTCTTGCAACTTTTTAAAGCTTTTATATTTAGACTGATCCCAAAATGGTGAATGTTAGGGCTAAATTAATCAACATATTTACCATTTTGCTAGTTTTTAAAGCTTTTATTTTTAATTCCTAAATGTTATTAAATATTAATATTAACCAATATATTTTTTATTTTACATTACCTTTTAATAATATTTTTATATACCTGTTTGTTTGTTTATTACTTATTTTTAGCAAGTTATTTTTGATTCAGTGGGTTATTTTATATTTTGAGGGTCGTTGAGTTCAGGAGAAAATAGTAATTGAATCTTTGCGAGTTGTATGTAGCTAAAGCTGTGTACTACACGCTTCAACAGCTGATTAATCGTATTACTCATGTATAATTAAAGCAACACACATTTTATCAATAAATAACTGTCTGGTGACACAAAGAAACAATGTTTTGGGCTGAGGTTTAACATTTGCAGATGTTTTTGGCTCCCAGTCCAATAAAAACCCAAAGCAAAACATTAAAACTTGTAAATTCAGTTTCCATCCCAGATCTTGATTATGGATCGAAACCACTGACTAAACCAGAACATTCTTTAATCCTTCAGTCACATTTCCAGCCTCTATTTTCATACACAAAACATTCATCTGTCTGTTTGACTGCCTCATGTTGTTTCTGCTACAAACCCGTGATTCTGGTTCTGATTTCTGATTTACGAGGGAAATTCACCTCTTTTCTCTCAACTTCTGGGCCCTGATTTGTGTCCTCAGACGAACCGTCCAGCCCGAGCATCGACCAGGACAGCACGCACATTCCCGCATCCGGGGTGATCTCAACTCCCCTCATCACCACCATCCCACCCAGCCCCACGTCTTCCTCTCCTCTCATTCGACGCCATCTGTCACACGATCAAGGTAACGTAAACTGATTCATTTAAATTAAGAAAGAAAAAGCTCATCTACTTATGATTATCAATCAATTGGTTTTAATTTAAAATTAGTTCCAATCGATCAACCACAAACGTTCGCTTCGACCTGTTGTTGTAGTTTGACCGCCATCCAGCAGAGGGCGCCGCAGGTCCTCCTTAACCTGAGCCGTTGTTCATTCTTAGAACAGACAGAAACAAAGATGGCGGAGCTCAACGGAACGAGAGAGAGCAGCGGTCCGAACAGAGACCGTAATGGGGTTCAAAATTCACTTCATGCGGTTCTGTTTTAAAATATCAACACTTGATAAGCTCCTTAAGGTTCACATTAATATCTCTACATGACGGAGCAACGTCAATTTGTCAACAAAAAGGCGAGGATACGGTCGTGAATTAATGAGCGAAGTTTTAGCATTCATACCACAGACATTTTATTCCTGTTTTGTGATATTTCATCAAATTTCTTAAGTTTAATAATGTAATCGAGACCACAAGTCTGTTTATTCAATCATTTTTAGTTCGGCTGACAAAGTCATGCTATATTTATTTAAATTCAGCATATTACGAAGAATTTAAACCCTTATGTTAGACCATAGGTGTCAAACTCTGGCCCGCGGGCCAAATTTGGCCCGCAGTGTAATTATATTTGGCCCGCGAGTAAATTTCAAATTAATATTAGACATTTACACCAGAAAGGAGGAATTACATTTTATTTAAATTTTATTTATTTAATATTTTATTTCATATATTAAAAATAATTTATTTAATATAATAATATGTTTTATTATTATTAGCAACTCAATTTTGCACACCTGCACTTTTAAGTTAGATAAGCTTTGCTTCTTCAATATTTATTGTTATATTAGAACTTGTTTGGGTCCATATTAAAAGATTCATTTGTTCAACCTTGGCCCACGACTTTGTTCAATTTAAAGTTTTGGCCCACTGTGTATTTGAGTTTGACACCCCTGTGTTAGACAATTCTCCCTCTTGATAGAAAATAAATGTTGTGTTTTTAAGAACCAGTCGATAGATAAGTTATTGATCAACTCAATAATCGATAACTTGCATCTCTAATTTAAATATCTTGTTCCAAATGAATGTTTAACACATTTGTGTCCATTTCTCCTATAGATTCTCTTCATCTCTCAGTTATCGGGTCAGACTCTGGTACCAAATCTGAACGGTCCAAATCGTACGATGAAGGCATCGATAACTACCATGAGGAAAGCAGAGGGTGGGTTACGTAAAATTAAACCCCATTTCTAAACTTTATGATAGATTAATAAAAAGGTATTTTCTTTGATTTAAATGTCTTTAGTCACAAAATCAAAGTTGAAGATAAACTTTGATCTAATTGAAATTCATCCATTTTAAGTGACGTCCTGTTGTAAAATGAAAACAACTAATGTCTTGTTTTCATTTGTTGTGAGTGTTCGGCTCTTAAGTCCCTGCAGCAACAGTAACCAAGCCTTTTTGGCCTCCTTAAATATAATCAAACTCTCTGGATTTTAGTGTTTGTTTGCTCAGGCTTCACTTGCACTCCAGAGAAACGTCGATGTTTGTCTGAACCACCAACACAGCTTCAACAAACAGAACTCCAAACCACTGAAAATGCAGCAGCTCTTTCAAGTCTCCTAAAATTTCATGTTTTGTCTCTTGCACTCAGGAGGTCTCTGCTTCCTGGACTGAAAAGTTTGAGGAAGGTAAGTTGTCCGTTGTGAGAGAGTCCTGGCTGTCCTTACATGACCCGCTTATCCGCATGTCTTCCTCTGTAGTTTATCAGCCCTTTAGTTCACACCCACAAGATTAATGTTTTCCTACTGGATTGTGAATATATTATGGAAAACACAGACAGCTATATAGTCAACACCAGGTAGATAATTGATAGGAAAATTTATATGTTATCGTTTTTGTTCCATAAAATGTTTCATAACTTGGTCAGATTTTGCATATGTTTGTTAGTATTTTATTTATTGAAAGTTTATTGTGTTCTTTTATATTTCAGGCTGTAGACAGGTCATCAGAAGATTCTGGGTCCAGACGAGATTCCTCATCAGACGTCTTCTGTGATGCCACCAAGGAGGGTTTGCTACATCTGAAGCAGCTTCATGCAGATAAGGGAAAGGTGTGTATTCTCCCTGCATAATAAAACACAGGCCCTGCTGTCATTGTAAATTTTTTTTTTTTTTTTAGTTATATGACTTTAAATACATCAATCACTGATCTTAAATTAGTTTGGATTTGTTTCTCATGGGACTTTTCTGACAGGCAAAAGTTTGAGTCACCTGCAGACATATTTATTCTGTGAGTCAAGGCAGGTATGGCTACAGGTAGCTATCTGCTAACATGCTCTTGCTAGCTAACTATGAGGTGTAAGTGCAAATTTTGATTATTGAAGTAATCACCTAATTTAATTGATTAAACTTTAACTGGAGTATTTAGACTCAAAAAAGATCATTTACTGAAAGAAAATAAGATTTTCAGATTAGTAACTAAACAAAATTGTACAAAAATGTATACATTGTGTATTTAAGATTAAAACACTTTTGTAAATATGTTGTAGCTAAAACTCCTTAAGTGGCAATTTTAGTTCCACCCCGTTCAGATTTACTAAGAGTATTATGTTGTTGAATTTTAGGTAATAAAAAGTTTATTTATTAGTAAAAAATTGAAAATTGAATTATTTATTATTTGCTTTTTAAATACCTAATAATGTCTAAAAAAGACTTATGTGGTTAAGGGAAAAAACTGTAGAATCCGATTAATTGATTAATCATCAGAATAGTTGACAGATTACTAAAACAAAGAAGTTGTTGACAAATGTATAAGGGCTGTTAGTTGTAGCCCTTATACATTTGTCATGATGCAGGTCATAGCGGTTCTAAAAATTGACAAATTAAGACTTTTTAAGACCTTAAAAAATCTTGAGACTTTTTAAGGTCCTAAAGTTTTTAAGTCAAGACTTTTAAGGTCTTGAACAGTCTTTAATCTGAGTTGATGAAACCTGCAGGAAACACACACCTGACCTACTGTAGTTATGTTGTCAGTAACAGCCGGTTGTTTTGGGTATGCTACAAAGTCAATGTTTTCCCTCTGCAGCGTGTCGGAGGAGGAAACCGGCAGTGGAAACAGATGTACGCCGTGTTGAGAGGCCACTACCTCTGCCTGTACAAAGACAAGAAGGAGGGCCAGGCTCACGCCAGCTGCCAGACCATAGAGGAGCCGCTGCAGATCAGCATCAAGGCCTGTCTGATCGACATCTCCTACAGCGACACGAAGCGCAAAAACGTCTTGAGGCTGACCACGTCGGACTGCGAGTACCTGTTCCAGGCGGAGGACCGGGAGGACATGCTGGCCTGGATCCGAGTCATACAGGAGAGCAGCAACCTGGATGAGGAGGTTCATCTTCATCCTTTGCTCATATCATCATTGTTTGCATGTTTGGCCTTGATGTCACGTTTGCATGGCGCGGTTATCTGCGTCTAAAAATGTTAAAGTGATACAATGAATGCACTTATGAAGGAACTTAATTCAGTCAATTGATTTTTAATTTGAAGGTTTAGTTTTTGAAAAATCTGGATTTATTTTTTTTTGTTTCTATTTAGACTTTGAATTCCAATGAAAATTAAAATTAAATGAACTTGACGGATTCTGGTCAACTTTACGACAAAAGATGAGTCAGGCTGAGATTTTTATTTATTCTTATATTTTTATTTGTATTTATTTATTTACAAAAATAAAGTGATGATGTCACATAAAGCAATGCAGGCATAAAATGTTTAAATTATCAGAATAACATAACATTTGGAGAATGAAGTAGTAATTTTATAAGAACTCTAATACAGAAACTTAAAAAAATTAGCTATTCAAGATATTTTCTCATTAAAACTACCTTTATCTCTTAATTTTAAGATAAGAAAATTGCATCTTTATTCATTCTCGTAATTAAACATTCTCACAGCCTGGCCCTAATTTGTAAAACTCATAAAAGGGATTATTAAAATAAAAGCCATATTTTCTGTCATTTGTAATTCTTAGAAAAGAAAACAAGAAAAAGAAACTGATTCTGGCATAAGAAATTGGATAATAATAACTGATTACTAAAATAATTGTCATTTGAAGCACTAAATGGTTGCATGTTATTTTCTTCTTCTCTTTCTTTTAGAACGCGGCTTTCACCAGCCATGACCTCATCAGTCGGAGGATCAAGGAGTACAACACCTTGATGAGGTCAGGAGACAACAGACGTCTTCAGTGGTTAGAGCCTTTCAGTCTGATCTGAAATCTCAGTTTATCATTTATTTGATTGGTTCCTGCAGCCCGACAGGCAGTAAGACCGAGCCGTCGCCCAGGGCGTCGCGCCAGTCGCTCAGCATCAGACAGACGCTGCTGGGAGGCAAAGGAGAGACCAAAGCAACGAGTCCGCACTCACCCAAACCCGAGCAGGAGAGGAAGGGCAGCCACAAAGGTGGGAAACTTCCCCTTTAAGTCACAGTTTCTATTTAGCCAGACTAAAAAGCGTCAGGGTTCGGTATGTGCTGATGTTACCCACTGTGTGCAGATGACACCAGCCCTCCCAAAGACAAGGGGACGTGGAGGAAAGGCATCCCTGGGCTGATGAGGAAACCCTTTGAGAAGAAACCGTCTCCTGGAGTCACATTTGGAGTCAGACTGGATGACTGTCCTCCAGCTCAGACCAACAAGGTGAGGCTGATTGTCCACGGTCGGGTCCAAATGCTCTTTAGAACACGGCCCAATAAATACGTCCGTCCAACTAACTAACTAACATTCCATCAATCCATTTTTGGACCTGACAGTGAGAATGTAACAGTCATTTGTCTTTTCTTTGCTGTATCTTTGTTCATTAAACCCCATCATATCTCTCTGTCCTCCAGTTTGTGCCTCTGATCGTGGAGGTTTGCTGTAAGCTGGTAGAGGAGAGAGGGCTGGAGTACACGGGCATCTACAGGGTCCCCGGGAATAATGCTGCCATCTCCAACATGCAGGAGGAGCTCAATAACAAGGGCATGGGCGACATCGATATCCAGGATGATGTAAGTGTCCTTCATCGATCCGAATCGCCTGCAGGGCTCCGTCCTCGTTAGGTTAGAGTAACACCTGCCATTTATTGAACTTCAGGATAAAGAAATCAATATTTTGGATCGTTTCTCTTGCAGAAATGGAGGGACCTCAATGTGATCAGCAGCTTATTGAAGTCCTTCTTTCGAAAGCTTCCTGAGCCCCTGTTCACTAACGGTGAGCTGGTTCTGTGCCCCACCTGGTGGCCAAAGCGGTGAACTGCAGCTTTAACAGACACTGTTCTCCCTGCAGATCGGTACGCAGATTTTATCGAAGCCAACAGGATAGAAGATCCAGTGGAGAGACTGAAGGTGCTCAAGAGACTGGTGAGTAAAACTGAAGAAATTCACCTCAAAATGCAAGAACAAGGTTTTCAAGTTTCTGTTGGGATGTAAACGTGGCCGGGTGGTTCTGGTCAGAACTGATCAGAACCGATCAAACTGGGTCAGGTTTCATCCAACTAACAATCCATCCATCCTTTGGGAATCTAGAAAGTATTTCATATTTGTATATTTGCTGCAGCTTCATGAGCTTCCGGATCATCACTACGAGACGCTGAAGTTCCTCTCCGCTCATCTGAAAACTGTAGCTGAGAACTCCGAGAAAAACAAGGTTATCACCTCATAACCTTTCTGCTCTATTAATTTAGCTTTGGAATTAGTTCAAACTCTAAAACGCGCCTCCGGTTCCCGTTTCCTGTCAGATGGAGCCGAGGAACCTGGCCATCGTGTTCGGCCCCACTCTGGTGCGCACCACCGACGACAACATGACCCACATGGTGACCCACATGCCCGACCAGTACAAAATAGTGGAGACTCTCATTCAGAACGTGAGCCTCTCAGCCTTCGTCCTTTCAAACATTAAAAATGGGAAGTTCAGCTTTTATAACGTCTTGTTTCCTTTCAGTACGACTGGTTTTTCACCGACGAAGGGAACGGAGAACCAGTGGTGAGTTAATGAAGTTCAATGAGAAACATTTAGTTAAAACATTAAGTTTTTATTTGTTAAACTGATACAAGAGTACAACTCCATAAGATGCTCAACATTCCTCATTTAAATTTTGGATTATTTTTCATGTATTATAAAATGACTACTTTGTTCTCGTATCATTGTGACTTTATTATCTTTTTATTAAGTCTTTATTGATTCTACATTGCATGACTTTGTTTTTGTGTAATAAGATAATAATCAAAACATTACATTAACTCAAGTGCCGTCATTAAATTTGTAATTGATTACATTTCAAATAGAACTCTAAACATGTGGGTTTTTAGTGGAGATTTAACGGAAGCCATTGGTTCAGCTGTTTTATAAACGTGTTTGTCATTTCATTTCCATCTGGATAACTGCAGTCAAACTTCGCTCTGCTCTTTCAGACTGTTTCCCACGAAGAGAGCGCCATCGAGTCTCAGCCCGTCCCCAACATCGACCACCTGCTCACCAACATCGGCCGCACCGGCACGTCGCAGGGCGACGTCTCAGGTAACGCGTGTCCTCCGCCGCGGGCGAGCCGTCCTCTGTCCCTGCCCAAAGCGTTTCTGATTAAATCAATATCGATGACGGCGCAGCTTCTCCCTGAGCTTCTCCCTTTGCTTCTTTGGCTTCTGCAATTTAGCTGCATCTCTAAAACGGATGCAAACAAATTGCTGTTTCCTGTTTTGCTAGATTTTCTTGATACACTTTGCAAAATTATTTATACTCCTTGAACTTTTTTATCAGTATTACTGGGATTTTATGTGATAGAGAAACACAAAGTAGTTCTTAGGGCTAAAGTAGAGAAAAACAATATTAAATGTTTTTTATCACATCAACATAATTCTTCACAGTTACTATAGAATACATTCAGTTGTAACTTTGATTTTATTTTCTAGAGATGTTGATTTTTTTTAATGTTTTGGTTTTGATTCATTGTTCCACTTATTAAGTCATAATTTCAACATGGAGACGCCCATAAACATTTAATTTCTTTCAGTTTAGATTTCCAGACGCCACATGTAACATTGATTTTAGATACATTTTTACAATTGTGTCTTATAAAATAAACATTTTGCCATGACATCTTATTACTGTTTATGCGAGGAGCGGCCATGTTGAAACAAGAAGTACGCCTGATAGAATATTCAATAATTTCACTGTATTACAATCCAGAACCGCACAGCAGTGTGGGATATGTAGGCAGAGGACAAACTTTAGCTCTCACAGCTAGCCTACCCAAACCACGCTTTATCTCATAAATTATTTACAAACACACTTTTTTAAAAATATATTTATAAACAATAAATTTCTTTATTATTTGTTTTGTTTTTTATTTGTGTATTAGATTTCTAAATCTGGGACCTGAGTCCAAATTTTGTGCCACAAACAAGCAAAAGTGGTACGACAAAACGATCTGGAATCAACCAACTCACTCACTCTTCAGTTACCTAGCAACTCACTCACTCTTCGGTTACCCAGCAACTCACTCACTCTTCGGTTACCTAGCAACTCACTCACTCTTCGGTTACCTAGCAACGACCAGTTGAGTAACTTGCGCAGCAGCAGTTTTGGGTTTTGCCACTCTGTCTCATAACTGCCTAAAAATAAATGTCAGCATTTCAGATATTTAAAACAAAAGAATAATCAATAGCTATTGGTAGCGAATGATATGAAACGCTTCTGTTTTGATATTTTCAGTCATATTGTCCAACTAGTTCAAGTTCCTAGCCATCTTGAAAATTAAAATGGTTGATCAATGTGCTACTTTTTGTTGATCTTCCACATAAAATCTCTATAAAACGCAACATGCGACGGAGTTCAAGGTGTGTAGAAACTTCCTGTAGGGCGCTGATGTTGTTGGTAAAGTAAATGATAAATGATGTGATGTTGACCTGGGCTGTGCTCCCCTCCCCTGATCCCCCTGCCTACTGTTGCACTAACTCGGCATGTTCTTTCCACATCAGTGCAGATGTTTTTACAGTAAAAGGCGACCTCTGATCCCTCTGTCTCTAGTGAGGCTCTGTCGGGTGTCCTAACGGCTTTCCCAGCATTCACACATACTGATCTTGACACAGGCCAAGTGGGCGGAGTCTATCACGCCGTGATGTCTCTGATGGACTCTGTAATGAACAGCTGGAACTGTAGGAAGAAGGAGGATTGTTGCCGGCACTGTAGCTGCCTAGTCTGCAGGAACCCGCAGGTGTTTTAAACCCCAGAAAGATGAAGCTTTAATAAAAGAGATAAAGCAACAGAAACCTGGGGGGGAAGCAGCGCGGCGACACGGTACAGTCCCCAGTGTTGCAGGTTTTCTGTCAGAGTTTACGTAACGCAGGCCGGTGCTGCTGTCTGAAGGCTCTCCGCTGTCTCTCCTCACTGTTTTACAAGCTGGCCTGCAGGAGAGATAGCATGGTATGGTTCCTACCTGCACATATTTACCCTCATCTGTACTGTATGTAAGGGGAGCGGAGGGGGGCTCGGCTACGAAACACAAATTTTAAAGCTGGAAATGATTATTATGAGGTAATCACTGACCATAGGTTCCCTCACCCACACTCATCTCTCTCATGTAGCGTCCTCTCTTCTCATATAGCTAGCCCCTCTGTGACCCCCCTGTCACTTTTTCTTTTATTTCAGTCGCCATCTTTGTCGTATTTGTCTCGTTTCATCTCACCTCAAAACTGTCGCACTGAATCGCCTGCTCCGTTAGCAGGTCAGTTACTGTTCAAACATTACATCCTGTAAAGTTTTACTGGCAAATGTGTGTAAACAAACATAAAAATTGTATTCTCCATAATTTCACAATAGCACAACTTATATTCACAACTAGTTAGTCTGTTGCACATCATATCTGATAGATGTGTAAGTCTACTACCATACGATAAAATAGTTGAACTCTGAGACACTTATAATTGCCTATTTTAATACTTAAAACACCAAATATGCATAAAGGTTACCTATTTTGTCAAATTATGTACTTTTTGTACTTGGATTAGGGTTTTTACTGTTTCTATAAACAGCCCAAGCTTTTGAAAAACACAGCAAATTAATATCTTTTGGTGTCTAGAAAGTTTGCCATTTCAAAAACCTCCTGATTGCTGAGCCGCATTGCGCCGTTACCTAGCAACCCAAGTGGAACTTATCCCTGTTACCTAGCAACCCTAGCAGAGCTCCAGCACGTTTGGTCAGCAAGTTCTACCGATGGAAGCACTGTATGACGGCTGGTGGAAAAGACCAGTTGACTTACTATTCAGAAACCACTTTCTGCATTCTTGTTGGTTGTGCGCGAGGCTCCACTTCTGCTTTTCAAAGATGTAAAATTGTATAACTGCACATCTGTTTGCAGCCATTTTCCTGTGCGAGTGCAAAGGTTGAGTTGGGGGGTGTGGTCAGCAGCTTATTTGAATTTAAAGTGACAAGACGCCCTAAAACAGCTAAAGCAGAATTGACCAGATTAAAATCAAAATCTAACGCAGATTTTGAGCAAAACAATTTAATGAAAAGGTTTGATATACAAACTGATCCTGACCTGTTCCAGGTAGCATAACAGGTCACCTTTAATATGACTTATTAGAAACCATCTGCTGTTTAATTTTTCTACACCAACACGACAAACTGGCTTCTGGGTTAATTATTATTAAAGTTCAGCAAAAAAGATCAGTGTCTTTTCCTCTAACTGTCATCATCCTCTGCATGGCACATTATCTGCTGCTGCTCACTTCTAATGTTTCTCATCATCGTTAGGGTCAGGATTAGTGTGTGTCGTTTCCCATCCAGGTGTAACATGGAGCTCACCTGTTTGTCTGCTTGCATGGCCTCTTGTCTGCTCATCGGTCTCGTCTAATCCTCTCACCTCATCAGTTTTCATGCTCTCACTCATCAGCATAACATTTTATTTCTTCTTAATTCATATCCCAGTGTTGCACCTCCTCTTTTGTGTTATTCAGTCTCGTGTAAAATCATCTAATTTTGCTCTTATTTCTTCCCCCACAGATTCACCAACTAGTGACTCAGCTAAATCAAAGGTGAGTGTGTCCAGGTCGCTGGTAGTTTAGGATTACAGGAAGAAAATGGCATGGAAATCGCTTTCAAGGTTTCACAAACTGGAACTGCTGGCTCTGCTTTTAAAAAATCCTGATCTGATCAGAATAAAAAGCATCAAGTTTCAGGTTTTCAGTGAATAACGAGAAAGTTTCTGTATACAGTATACATTATTACATAAGAGATCCACTGCTCCTGACCCAGTTAATGCAATAATATCTACAGAAGCATAACACTGCTTTTTATTAAACAATCCTAATTTATTTATTGCATATTTCTCCTCCTTTTGAAATGTGCAAATGCATTTATTTCCATTTTCAACTTCTTAAATCCAAGAAACGTCGCTTCAGATTTCTGAGTGGTGCAGTGAGACAGTGGTGAGGTGTGCGGGAGGTGTCACTATCTTCACGCTCCTCTTTATTCATGATAGACAGGAAGACGGTGGAGCAGAAGCTGGACTTCCTGTTAGAGTATCATAATGTTTGCAGACGATATTGTGATCTATATTCGTAGTGGAAGAAACGGGATTCGTACGAGTGCTTGAAATCCTTGAAAATGCTTTTCATTCAGGAGTTTTCAAGGTTTGGAAAGTGCTTGATTTCTGTATAAATCCTTGATTTTTAAACTGCACAGATTTACAATGAGGTGAAATCTAACATTGGATTAAAAGCCTAAATTTAGAAAATATTATTTACAGCTTAAACTAATTTATTGTTCTGTGTATTTTTAATCAAGTTTGGCTCTTATTTTATACGTTAAACGTCTTTAAATCAGATGACTTTTTGTTATTAAATTAGTATTTTTTTCTCTGACAGGTTGTGTAACAGACATTTCTTGTCTATTACACACTAAAATAATTGTTTTTTGTAATTATTTATTTAAATAACAAAATTTTGGTGCCGTTTTAAAAATATTTCCAGGAAATTTAGCAATATTTATGTTTACGTTTGTAAATATAAGTCTCAGACTCGGTATATTGATTAACTTCGAGTGAGGATGAGGCAGCAGTGCAGTAGAAGGAGGAAATGCTGCCACCTGCAGGTGGGAGTTATCACTTTAATTCAATGTTTTTGAACATCTTGCAGAAAATTTGCCATATACTCACTCACTGTTGATTTTGCGTGAAATAGTAAAAGTAGAAGGACGTCGTTGACATAATTTAGCAGAATAGAGATAAAAACTGATTTGATAAAATAATATTAAAGCATGTGGCTGTATTCCTGCCTTATTAAAAGCTACAGTGAGCTGGATTTGAGTCATCAGTGGAGTTTAAAGGGAGGCGCTGCTGTTTGGTTTCGCTGCTCCTGCTCAGCTTCATGGCGGTGCTTGTGCAGCTTCTGCTTTATCTGCTGTAAAGCTGCATGGCGACAGAAATGATGTGCTTCCTGCTACGATGCTGCTAATGTTCCTCTTTCTCTCTCTGATCGGTGCGTCTCTGGAGCAGGTGGAGTACTGATTTAAGGAATGAGGGATTTTTTTCTCTTTGTCTTTTCAAAGTTTAACTTTTTTCATTTTTGTATTCTTGTCCTCTTCTCTTCCCGGTCTCCGTTTTTCGCTGCAGGGTTCCTGGGGTTCTGGGAAGGACCAGTACAGCCGAGACCTCCTGGTCTCCTCCATCTTTGCTGCCGCCAGCCGCAAAAGAGGGAGATCAAGGGAGAAGCCGCAGCCTAGCAGCTCTGACGACGATCTGGACGCGGTCTTCCCCAGAAAGGAGGTTCCTTCGGGGCAAAAGCCGAACCACCACCCGCTGCAGGGCGACAAACCGAGGGCTGAGGAGAGAAAGGAGAACGGCAGAACCATCCACAGAAACTCGTTATTCCAGAAAGAGAAGACTCCTCCCCGACGGGCCTCGCCGTCGCCAATCATCAGCGACCAAACGGCGGCGCAAAGGAAGATTTCCCTGTCGGATCCACTGTCCCAGCTGGAGGAAAACACCTCTGACCTTGGCACCATGAGCTCTGGGGCATCTGTCCCCAGATCAAGGCCCAAGAAGTGGACGGGTGGAGCCTTCGTGGACCTGCCGGCGTCGGCCGGAGCCGAGGTGAGCTCCATCACCTCCGACTACTCCACAACCTCCTCCATCACCTTCCTGACCGGTGCTGAGTCTGGCGTGCTGAGTCCGGAGCTGCAGGGCGGGGAGGAGGCCGACGACGAGCGCAGCGAGCTCATCAGCGAGGGCCGACCCATGGAGACGGACAGCGAAGGCGAGTTCCCGGTGTTCGCGCCGGGAGGCGGCAGCGGCCAGTCCACGCCTCGCTCCACGCAGAGTCAGGAGAAACCCATCGGCGGCGCGCAGAAACAGGAAGCGCGCCGCCTTTTCCCCACGCAGCGCATGATTGAGTGCGACACTCTGTCCAGACGGTGGTCGCTGCGGCATAAAACCGACAGCGACTCGTCGGCGGACGGCGCGGCGGGGACGGAAGGGAGAGCAGAGTCTTCCAGCCGCTTGTCTCGAGTCTTGGAGGTGATGAAAAAAGGCCGGTCGTCAAGCAGCATCAGCTCTTCTTCACGCAGCGAGTCGGAGCGGCCCGAACCAGCCTGGCACCTGAAAATCACCGAGCGGCTGAGGTTCAGGATCCGATCATCCGCCGATGACATGTTCGCCACAAAGAGTCAGACACCCGACGCTCGGAGCAAGAAGAAGAACATCCGGCGGCGGCACACCATGGGCGGGCAGAGAGACTTCGCAGACCTGGCGGTCATTAACGACTGGCGGGAGCAGGGCGGCGTCGACCAGAAGGCCGACCTCTCGCCGCTGGACCGTCTCAAACCCAGGTGCTCTTCTCAGGACCTTTCCTTCCGGGACTGGATTACCCACGAACGGCTCCGCGGATCCAAACCGAGCGCGGAGGTAGCGCCCAAAGCGGAGCCGGAGGACGATCATCCCGAAGCACCGGAAAAACCCGAAAAACCTCCGCCGGCGACCGCGGAACATGTTAACGGTGGCGGGATGCGGGACACAAATAAAACCCAGCCGACATCAGACGCTCACCCGCACAAACTGTCCGGAGCGCAAGTGACCCGCTCACGGTTTTACCAGTACCTGTAGACAGAAAAAACCCGACCAGAGTGTGTGTTCAGGCGTCAATGTGTGTATTTTAGCACAATATTTTTATACTAAAATATACTTTCTGTATCTAATGTACATACTGTGTATAAGCTCTGATGATTGTTACTAAACTAATAAAGATGATGAAGTTCTCTGCCATACTCGAACCGAGCCGGAAAGGAATTGTGAACTTTCTCCAACAGAACCGACCCGAGAGTCTTTACTTCGTCACATGGTTCAGTTCTTCCTCATATATGAAGAATGTATCACCTAGGGCTGGGCGACCTCTGCATTTCATGGTTTTTGAAGAGTTTATTGTTGGAAAATGGAAATTTAAAAAAAAATTTCCACCAATACACTCCTGAGGTTTTCATAGTGACGTCAGCACGCCCAAAGCCGCCATCTTGGATTTAGATCAACTTCATGATTGTCAGGGTAAAGCTAGGATTTTTTTAATTATAAGAATAAAGTTGTGCCACAACAAAGTTGAAATATTGTCCAAATCAAGTCGTAATAGAATAAAGCAGCAATTTTATTAAAATTGAAAAAAGAAAGTAATGATGTAAATTTTTACAAATGAAAGCACTTTTTAACACATTAGCACAAAATTATTGAGCAGCAGGATTTTGAAACGATCGTGCAATTGATTTTAATTTAAAATGTCTTTTAAACGGACAATTAAAACGTAAATTTGCACCTTTATTCTGCTAATATTAGGACTTTCTTCTTATAATTAAAGATTTAAAAAATCATACACGACCTCTAAAATCAGACTCACAGAAGGGAAAATAAAAATAATCAAGTCTTAGATAAGCGGTAACAAAATTGATTAAAATCGGACCTGGTACATGTAAATAAACTGATTTTGTGCCGTTTCGCCCAGCCCTAGCATCTCTTTCTGGGCGAATGTTACTGTCTGTTTTTGTTCTGTTTGTACTTGAAGTACTGAGGAGTACCAAGCTGCTTTCTGAGCTGCGTCCTGCGGGAAGTTTCTTTTCCGCAGCACATAAACACCGGCCAGATATTAGCTGGGACAACTGGAGGATGGTTATAGTTTTATCTCTAAAAAACAAAAAAAGTGGGCTAAGAAACGGTAATGATGAAATGCTGACGCTATCGTATGTAATTCTTTGGTACATTAGTTTTTATTTCCAAAAAAAAAGTTTGTTTTTACTTGTGCAAGTTGTTTTTATCTCAAAAAGAAAAGTGCCTCCTTTGTTTTCTTTCTAAAAGTCGTTTTTATAAAGTTATTCACAGGACAGTTTTAAACCAGAAATCCAGTTTTCAGTCAAATTTACAACAATGGTTTTGTGTTTTTAAAGTGCAGTAAAAGGCACCAGCGCCTTTAACTGGGGAAAAATGTATAAACTGGGTTTTAAACCTGTATGATACGAATGTTTGCTGCAGCAGAGCATGAGTTCAGTGCCCCCTCGTCCCAACAAACACTGGAAATAAATAAAAATCTTAAGTACATTTTGTTGCTTAATTTGTCTTCTTGCACTTGAACAGAGTTTCTAGAGTTTGGAAGTGTTGGTTTTCAATTTGTTGTCTTCATTTTATTCACAGAAATACCCAGTTCTCCATTATTTATTACAGAATATGTGACAGTGTGATAGTACAGGACACAACAACCCTTCAGTTAATATATCCATCTTCATTCAGTGACCCTTTACCAGAAAAGCAGAATCAAAATATACAAAGTTTGTTGTGCTTAGAAATTAAACATGAAAATCTTAAAATATTATGAGAAGCCTCTGGTCTCCTAGTTGTCTTTGCAGTTCTGATCGGTGGCCTTCATCCTGGAAATGTCGATTCCTTCTTTGACCAGCAGCTCTTTGGCGTAGCGAAGCGTCGCCGGCGGCAGGAAGCGCGACCGCGACAGGATCCAGGCGTACTCAACTCGGAACAGGCGCAGGATGTCCGTGCAGGAGTACACCACCGCCAGGCTGGTGTAGTCGGTGGTGAGGACCCAGTACGGGCTGTAGGGAGTGACTGAGAGCAAACGCCATGCAAGTTAATTTGCTGATTCAGGAGGTCAAGGGTTAGCTGTCCGTGTATGTAACATTTACCAAAATATATATTTTTACCCTCACAATGTTTTTGATCGTCTCTGAAAAGATCAAGAAGCTCCCTGAGCGACTGTTGCTGTCAGAAACAACCAATCAGAGCCAGGAGGCGGGTCTTAGCGCTGCCGATCAACTTTGTGTAAATGAAGCTCAGTGGTGGAGAGCCATTTATAATTAGCCTTAGCATCCCTGGCCGGCCATGTTGTGGTGAACAACAATGCTGTAGCATAGCAGAGAGCAAGGGGTGAGCATTTGTCAAAAAAATTGACAACGCTAAGGCCCTCCTCCAAGCTGTGATTGGTTGTTTCTGGCTGAGGTGTATTTCTACAATTAGTACCAGGACCAGTTTTTTTCACAGATTATCTGTCTTATATTTTACAGTCACTACATAATGATCATTTTAACAAATAAATAAACAACATATGATAAACATTCACTTCCTGATTCACATGATTCCCAGTCGGCATGTCTTGTGTTTTATTAACCTTATATGTTTAAGCCAAACTCTCCTGGCGCCATATTGCATTCCTAACAGGAAGTCATGGTTGTTTTGAAGGCCTTTTATTGGGTTTAGCTTGTGCTACACTGCCCCCTATAGTTTTGGCATGTTTCAAACAACATTCAGTGTTGAAATTCACAGCAAGTTTGTGTGGATAAATGCTTTTCTTGAACCGATTCCACTATTCGAGATCATTTTTTTGATGAGCTTTTGTTCATTTTTGCACTCAAGCACTGACAAATTAGCATCCATCTCTTCACTCATTGCTGTCAGGCTCTTTATTAAACACACTTACAGTATGAGAAGCTGACTCCAAGTTTGGCCATTTCCCTCGTATCGCGAACCACAGCCGTTCCTTCAGCTGTGCTCACTTTATCTTTACTGGAACATAGAAAAACAGAGTCGCAAACATTTAATTAGCAAACAACAACAAAGCTAAACTGCGGTTTTAAACATTTTCGGGTTTAAAATTATCCGACATACATCAACGTCTCTCTGTTAACTGGCAGATTTAAAAAGAAGAGAAACAGCTAAGTTAGGCAAAAAAATAAAAAATAAGTAAAAATCTGATCCCAAAGAATGCTGAGTCACTGGTTGCTGTGGGAATTCCCGCCTTTTCTGGAACAGGACTTCCACATTTCCACCACTTTTATTTCACACAATAATCCAAGCATGTGCAAAACCTGTAACTTATGACTAAAACTATCCAACTATGAGATGTAGAGAGAGAAAAATAAAACTTAGAAAGGTGTAAAAACATCAATACAGTCAGATGTAGAGTTGAGTTTAATACAGATTCAAAGAAGGTTGAAGTTTCTCTGCGTTTAACGGGATTTCCTGTTGCAGATTACGTAAGTATTGCGTTATATCAACATTAAAAGTTTTGGTACGCTGTTCCCTTTGGAGCCATGTGCTGTACATGTATTTTTTTTTCATAATTTTTTTCCAAATCAGATAGAAAACCAAACAAAAATAATGACAGAGAAATAATAACAGGACAAAATTCTAGTTTTCACACTAAACATCAAACCAATTGAAGAAGCAATCATTTTACTCACTACAGCTGTGAGTTCAGGACTCGGATGGTTCCGTCTTTCCTCAAGGCGTAATTCGCCTCGATGCATTTCCCCTTTTCAAAGGAATTGGGAAGCCTCTCTATCTCGTACCACCGTCCCAGGTACTGGCGACAGAAACCACTGGGTCACTTTGTGTCCATATGTTCTCCCAGCATATTTGTACAGGATTTACCTTTTGGACGCTGAAGCCGGGCTGCACTGCCGGACTGGGACAGGGACCCCAGTGAAACGTCTGAGCTGAGACCAGAGGCAGCAGCAGGAGGACGAGGTAGACGGCAGACATGGTTCCTGCAGAGACAAACAGGAACACATGAAAAAGTTTTACCTATTTAAAGAAGCTAATCAATGAGGTACAACATTGATTAGCTTCGACGATGGGAAATTTGTTGTGGGTGAAAGTGCAGCAACGTGTTACAGAAAGACAAGAAATGTCAATCGAGACCAATTTCACTGAATGAGACAATATAACTGCACCAAGGAAAAACTTGGTGCAGTTTCAACAGTTTCATTGCTGTGACATAAAACAAGCAACTAACGCAGAGATTAAGTAAATTTATCATAAGTAAGACTAAATCAAACACCAATATTATCAAGATTTATTAAGAAGAGAGATGGAAATTCAGTGAAAATCCAAAATCCACTGTCTGGAAACTTCACTGTCAGGGGGAAATATTACATCATTTTAAGACTTTTTAGACAAATTTAAATATGTGCATTAAAAACTTTTATAAAAAATAATAATATTTAACTTATTTGTTAAAACTGTCACTAGATATTCCGTGACAAAAATTGAGCTCCTCTGCCTTCTCCCAGTGCCAACAACCAATCAGAGCCAGGAGGCGGGTCTTAGCACTGTCAATGACAAGCTCATGATCTCTGTTAGGCTGCAGTTAACATTGCGTGTTGCGAGTGCTACGGCTAGTTAGCTTAGCCGCAGATATTGGCGGATAAATGTTTCTTCTGGAAGTTGTTTCTCCATCATTTGAAAATTTAGGAGCAAGTACATGAGGATGACTGACAGCACAAAGACCCTCCTCCTGGCTCTGATTGGTTGTTCTTGGTCAGGATTTCTTTAGACGATAATTGTAATTCAAGGAGGAAGTGGGGGAGGTTGATCTTTTCACAGATAATCTGTTTCATAACACACTTTCACAGCATGGTCACAGTTTTAACAAATATTTTAAAAAATGTATTTATGTAAGTTACACACCGCAGCTTTAAAGTTATAATCTGTGGGAATTATTCATACAGTCATTAGTTGGCTTTTAGTTAACGTTAGACTGCAAAAACGCAAAATCTTAGTGAGTAATTTTGGTCTACTTACTAGTACAAACATCTTAGTGTTGCACTTGAAATAAAATAAAACTTACTTGTGAATAAATTTTCAGCAAAATATAGCAACTTTATTGAGTCAATAATTCCTTCCTTCAAATTATTTGTCAGATTATTTTCACTTATAATGAGACATTTTTCCCATGTTACAAATGAAATAATCTGCCTACAGAACTACTACTTTTTCATTATTGACTTAAAGTCATATATCTTGCTGAAAAGTTACTTCTAATTTAGTTTTGTCTCATTTTAAGTGTAGTAAGACATTTGCACTAGAAATTAAACAAAAAATACTTAGATTTTGTGTTTTTGCAGTGCATCTTTACAGGCCACCAACCTGTAAACGTCTAGAATAGTCTAGGTTTTATTGTCATAGCTTGCATTTGAACACACTGGTTTGGTAAAAGTTATGATTGTTAACTTTAAGTTCCTGGTTACAAAAGAATGAGCAGAGAAAATTCCGCAGGGAGTGATTTTGTCTCTTTTGTCTCGTTTGACTGCATTGCAGCAGCCACACCTGTTCTTCAGGTTTCAAGGTGTTGCTTTGGGTTGAAAACACCTTCAGCTTTGTTGACATTATGCAATTATTATAAAACATATTATTATATGACATTTAAAGGGATTTCCGGCTATAAATGTTAAATGATAAAGATAAAAACTATTACCTTAATATGATGAGTAAGTGCAAATATATAATCTGATGTAGCAGGACTTAATCCTGCTACATCAGATTATATTAATTAAACAAGACAAAATAAAAACCATGTTAAGATGTGAATATTGTGCATCCTGTGTGCTCCAGGTTAAGGTTATATGTAGGAAGTGTTTCCTTACCTGAGTGGTGTGGAGGTCTGGAGCTGAGTCTGATTCTCTCTGGATCAACACTGGCTCCTCTCTGCCTTGTTAAAGAGACAGTCGGCTAATTGTTGTCATGCGCACATTCCCTCCCTGACGGAGCGCTGACTCAGGAAACAAACACTTTGACTCATTTTTGTCACGTAATGATGACATTACGGCTTTTTCCCATCGTTAACAAACTCTAACTTCACCAGAGGCGGGTTGTAACCAACCAGTCATGTTTACTCAGTTACCTTTACTTGAGTAAAGTTTCTTTAAAGTGTCTGTTCTTTTATTTCTGGATTTTCTATCCACTGAATGAGGAACAAACATGTTTTCACCAAAGATTCACCAAATACAGATACCTACAGTGTGTCTGTTAAAGTTTCATCTTTAAAAAAATATTTTTCGTGATTTTGTATAGTAAGTTATCTATAAGTTATGGTATAGTTTGTATTTATATAAATTACACTCATTTTGATCCTTAAAATACCAAAGTTTTCATATAACGTTATCTGATTATATCACCTGATCAATCAGAGGGTACAATTTTTATGTTAATATTAATTACTCTCTATGCGTGCCCATTATAGTTTGCATTTGAACACACTGGTTTGGTAAAAGTTATGATTGTTAACTTTAAGTTCATGGTTACAAAAGAATGAGCAGAGAAAACACTGGTGGGAGTGATTTTGTCTCTTTTGTCTCGTTTGACTGCATTGCAGCAGCCACACCTGTCCTTCAGGTTTCAAGGTGTTGCTTTGGGTTGAAAACGCCTTCAGCTTTGTTGACATTATGTAACTCTATTATAAAACACATTACTTAATGACATTTAAAGAGATTTCAGACTTTAAAAATTAAATGATAAAGATAAAAAAATATTAAATGATTTATGTTTTTATCAGTTATTCGATACTTGAGTTGCTGTTTTACCAAATACTTTTGGACTCTTGAGTAATTTCTTGAAAGGCTAGCCTTGTGTAGCAGAAGCTAGCAACACTAGCTAACTAAACAATCAATAAAAAAAATGTAAAGATGAACACGTTCAAACAACATACATATGGTTTTGTTTAGATACTTGTCAATGTTGTCAATTTTGTTGTTAATTATCAAATGTTGACATTATCAAGCGCTCAAATTAGCAAGTTTGGTAACAGCAACCGTTATTTAGGTACGTAGCTAAATAACGGTTAGCTACCAGCTAAAACTTTTGATAACCTTCATGGTTATCAAACCGCCCATGCTAACGACGCATATATTTTAGATATATGCCGTTTCAAATGTTACTTTTCAAAAACAATTATTGTGTGTTGGTGACGTTCTTCGAGTCATTCAGACGGAAAACCACAAGATGGCGCCGTCTTTACCTCCTCATACCTTTCTAGAAAAGTAACTGCAGAAATCACAACAATATGAATAATTTGACGTCACTGATCCACACAGACTGATCCAACAGCAGGAAAAACAGCTCTGGCATTTATTTTTGGACATTCTTCATATGCATCATTAGGAAAATCAAAAAGTGAAGAGTGGTAAATAGGTTTTCTGAATGTTTGTTGGACATTCTGAACATTTTGATATGAGGATTATAAAAAGAGTCGCCTGTCTTCTGAAAAATCATGATCCAACAGCATTTAGGGAAAATATGATCCAGATTACTTTTTATCGGTGCTAATCAAGACAACAGTGAAGGTTAGGAGCTGAGGAAAAAGTCACAGCTTGGGTTTTGGTGAGAATTATCTGGGGTTCAAATATTTGACGTGGCAGCAGTTGGGCGATGTTACAGTGGGATGTGATTGGCATGGCTCTGGCCAGTCTGTGTGTGTGTGTGTGTGTGTGTGTGTGTGTGTGTGTGTGTGTGTGTGTGTGTGTGTGTGTGTGTGTGTGTGTGCGTGCGTGCTGGGCTCCTTCTTCCTCTGCTCGCCCCACACACCACAGCCGACCAGGAGACCAACTGCAGCAAACCTTCACTCTGAACAGGTAAAGATCGGTGCATTCACTCCACGCTAAACACTTCTTTTTCCCAACAAATTCACTTTTTTCCATTGAATTAGGAGCTCAAGATGAAGCTGTTATGGATCAGCGGACTCCTCTGCATTTTTTCCTTCCATCTCTGTGGTGAGTTTCTTCATTTAATGTTAAAATCTCCACTAATAACTTGCTGGATGGAAGAAAAGGAAAATAGTTTTGTATCTGAATTTTTGTTTATTTGTTGATCAAGTTGGATGCAAGTACTTTGACTGAGATGAGAGTTTTAGTTGTGAACTGAAAGCGTGGTCTATGGCTCTGTGTTTGTTCAGTAAAGGGAGAAATATTTGCTGAGGAACCTGGAAAAAGAACCGTCTTTTAGCTTTACAGGACTGAATCCCTTCTTTGTTCAGAGAAAACTGTGGCATGTTTGGGAATGTTAACTCTTTTTTTTCTGTCTCTTTTCCCGCCTCACAGTGGCCAGAGTCGTCCCAGAAGGAGGTACAGTTTCATTAAAACTAAATATTTCCATCTTTATCTTCTTACAACCTTCAAATGTACATTTCTGCAGATTTTTAGGAACCAAATCTGCAGAAAATCACAATGATCATCTGTATTGACTCCTCCAGCAGAGGCAACCGGATTTTAAATTTTTTTTTAAGTGGGGATTAGTCATGTGATTTAATGAATTATAAAAAGGAAAGCTGTAAACAGAGATTATAATTAATTAAAAACATAATTTAGACAATCACGTTTCTCATTTAACCTCAGATTTACAATAGTTTTCCCCTGATAATCAAACAATTGATTGGTTTTCTCTGATTTTACTGTTTGTGTTTGTTTAATTGGTTTAAGGTTAAAGAAACCGAACCAGAGATTGTTGCTATTTAAATAAATGTATTTGAAATTGAAAATTTAATTGAACTTTACTGATTTCATTAAAAATGGATTCAGAGTGTAGAAGTAGAGCTTTTGTTTGATTTATCTGTTTGGTTTGTTTTGTTGCTGTTTTCCTAACAGCATCTCAATCACAAAATTATACCTTATATAATAATTTCAAATTAAATTGTTGGTGATTAATTGTCCAAAATAGGTCAGGAAGAAACTTTCTGAAGGTTGTGATGCCGCAAAACCTTTTGGTTTAGTTTCTTTGTGGTGCAAAAATTAATTTTCTCACATTCATACACCATCAATACATTGTCTGTTACTAAACTGATTTAAGTCATTAAAACTTGATAAAATTGCAAGTATATTGCACATAAATACCTAAAGTCAGTGTTTCCTGTCGTTCTGTCCGATTCAGTTCCATATGACGAACCGCCAGCTGTTCCCTACTGGCCTTACTCCACCTCAGACTTCTGGAACTACGTTGAATACTTCAGGTCCCTCGGCGCCTACAACCACATCAACGAGATGGCTCGGGCTTTCTACGCCCACCAGCACCTCGGAGGCACCCTGGGATACGAGACCAGTGCTGGACATGAACACTGAGAGGACCGCCAGGATGTTTAGAGAACGAAACCAAAATATTCTGATGGAAAGAGCAAAAGAATAAGGGAATATTATATCTACCTTAAATAGTTTGAAACATAGCAATGAATATAGATAACAGTGAAGCTTTGTTGGTATAACTGCATATTATATCCATGTACTGTGTGAAAAATAAACAAGACATTTTGCTTCTAGGTAAAAGTGTCTAAGGAATCTGCAGAATGCCACTTGGCTGGGAGTATCGATGAAATCCCTAAATGTTATTCTGCTGTTGAAATTTCATAAACAAGAGCAATTAGGGTCAGGAAGCTGCACTTCAAAAGGATTATTATCCTCAGAGCAAAGAGGTAGAATATATAGAGCAAAGCTTTGCTGCAATATTTTACATTGCAGCAAATATATAGAGAAGCAAAGCTTTGCAGCAAAACATAAAAATCAAAGTGAGCAAATTAGATCCCATCATTAAAATAATGCTTTCCCTAGTTTTTTTCTATATTTTTAAACTTGTTACTGAAGTTTTTTGCCTTTCAAAGTATAAAAAAAAGATAATTAAATATTAACAAATATTACCAACCTTACTCCTTGCCATTCATCTCATATGGTGAAAAATGTGTATATAAAGAAACAGAAAAACATTCATACAAGACAGTAACAGCCAGATTATTTTAAAAATAATTGTCATGATACAATAACGTGATGAAAAGTTAAAAAGAACAAAAAATCCAAAAATTAAATAATAATAACTAAGTAGTAGTAATGAAACTATGATTATGATTACTTATAAAATATTAATAATAGAAATTATTACTAGGATTGTTATTATTTGTCTGTACGGACTGAAAGTATTGACATCTATTGAATGCCTTTCAATAGATGGCATTCTATTGAAATGCCATCTATTGGAATTTAGATGGCCAATAGATGGCCATCTAAATGCCATCTATTGGCATTTAGATGCCAATACTGCTAATCATGGAGCAGTAACCCCAATTATTTTGAGGTAATTATTATTTTACCTCAAAATAATAATTATGAGGTAAAATTATTATTATTTTTTGTTTGTTTCTCATTGTTGGGATAGCGGATCTAATGTGACGGGCAAGCGTTTAAAGCGGATTCAAATAAGTGTCGCACACTGTTGTTTTGTGCTTTCCGGAAGTTAGCTAGTTTTGCTACTTACAAACTGAGCGGTTTAAAACGAATTTAGCGTTCAGACAAACAAGCAGGAAAAGAGAAGAAGATGAAGCCTGCAGTGGACGAGATGTTTCCAGAAGGAGCGGGACCTTACGTGGATCTGGACGAGGTCGGTTTATAGTCTAAACAGCTAATGCTAATATGGGTGCTAATGCTAATTACAGTGAAACTGCGATATTTTTGTTATTTTCTGCCGTGTTTGCGTCAACAGTGAGACAAATGTTAAAGCATACGGTCTTTATAAATATTAAAAATATATTCAGCTACAAAGTGATAGAGAAGTGAACATTCATGTTTACCGAAAACAGACCAGACTGCTTCTATTTATCCAGATCCAAAAAGTAATGTGAATATAATTTTCTTTATTTTCTGGTTTTTGCATTTTTACAAGGTTTATCTTTTCTTTTTACAACAATTTCTTAAAAAAAAGAAAAAAAAGGCCTAATTTATTATTTCTATTAAATTATGGTTTTGTGACTTATTTTAATCTGTACTTTAAGCGAAACAGTATCAAAACTGTTAAAAATTAATACATAAGAAATGAGTTTTACCTTTTATATTTCAGTTATTGAACTCAACAAATAGCTTGTTTTCTAATCTGTCTAGATGGACTTGTTCAACATTCTCAAGCCCTTGAATCAAACTGTTTTATAACCATATATTTTTATTTTATTTTGTCAGCATAAAGATAAATAGATGCAATATTCGTACCTAAAAAGTTTACTGAAATACTGGTGTAGTTTCATTCTCTATTAGTCATCAGTTTTTCAATGCATCCTGCAAATATGTGCTTTGCTCCGTTGCATGATCTACAATCATGCAATGCTGTGTGTCACAGGCAGGGGGCAGCAGCGGCCTGCTGATGGACCTAGCAGCCAACGAGAAAGCCGTTCATTCAGATTTCTTTAATGGTAAGACACAGAGCTGGATTATTCACTATCCACTGAGTTTGTTCAGACCTGAACTTCAGTTCTTCTTCCTAAAATGTTTCCAAACATCCGAGGTGGTTTCAAGAAAACCTGAGACTCATTATTTCTGTTTTGTAGAGATGTGTAGGTAATGTTTGCTCAAATTTATCAAGCAAATGATTTAATTTGATGTGCCTTGGTAGTACAATTTTAACGTTAATGAATAGAAATGTTACACATTAGTCATTCTTAGGCAATTTGAAATTAAATTAGCATCTTAATTTGACTGAAAAAGAGGTTAACTAAAACTTTCTCATGGTATTTAAAAAAAAATTCCCCTTCCAAGGTAGAAACCAGCATGTTAAGCTCCAGGGAAATGTGAAGCTTGTAATCTAGTTTGTTCCCTGAACCACATTGTTGTTTCACATTAACCTTAGAAAAAGTCCTATTGCTTCCCGCTCTGAACAGCAGCTAATGTGCGGGTGGAGCACAGAAAAATACCCAACTAATCTGTTTTCTGTCTTGCAGCGCTGGCTCCCAGATGAACAATTCTGGCTCAGCAGCACATGACCTAGAAAGAAAAAGAGCTGATTGTTAAAAAGACGATGCTGTTGCATAGTAAAGTGAGTTTATAGGTACTTTCAGACTCAAACTCAGTGGGACGCCTGGCCTCAGTCACTCAGCCGCTTTAAATGCCTGCACATTTAGAAACTCTCTCTATAGAGGAGGTTTTCATAAAAATCTCACCTGCTTCATCAAGGAGCACAAGTTCAAAACCCCTCAGCATATAGCTGGGTTTCCTTGGAAGTCTGAAAAAGTAGATTTAGTTGGTATTAGTTTGTAAAAATGCTTATTCCATATCTGCAGCCTTTGAACATTCCTACATTTATCATGTTACAACCTCAAACTTTTAACGCGACATCTCAATCTAAAACATCTCACAGAGCTGTGAGTCATAAAAGTTTGTTATATGACCTAAACCTGGATGTTTCTCACCTGATGGTCAGTGGTTTTGATTTGATTGGGAACCAAAATTGCAAAATTTACATTTTCACCTGGAGAAGTTTGCTTTTACACTGGACTGTGTCAAATGAACCAAACTCTCTGGAAAACTTTGATTACCTGTTCATACCTAATCGAACTCTGAAAGCCCACAAACGAAGCAGACTTTCTAGACAATTAAAGTGGACTAAACATATTTATGTCAGTACAGCCTTAAACTCCACCAGAACCTCTTCACCTGACTTTGTGATGCAGTTTGTTCTCTAATTTTGTCTTTTAAACCCTCAGAACATCTAAATTATCACAAGGTGCAACACTTTTTAGTGTTTTGGTGATCTACAAAATGTAGATCACCAAAACCAGACAAGATCTATGTTTTGCACTTAAATGAAAACCCCTTGAAAAAGTCTAGAAAATTTCAAAAAGCCAGGCGTCATAAATGAAAATCAATTTATAAATGTCACTAATGAACTCTGACACCTTTGATGATTGGCAGTTCAGTTTCTGGATTCATTCAAAAGCAGCACTGAGGTGCAAATTTATCTCAGAAAAGGCATTAACTAAGTCAGAGGTCTCCAAAGTGTGGGGCAGGGGCCATTTGTGGGTCTTGGATTGATTTTGTGCGGTCAAGAAGTTTGACCCTGTGACACTTTTTGTAATTTCTCCAGGATGAGATTTTCTGTGGCCAGTTTTTAATCGTCTTAAATGGAAAAAATGAAGTACAACACAAATAATTTTTATTTACTTAGTCTGTTTTTATTATCCTTTTATTTTAATCTCTTAAGTTATTCCACAAACATCTGGCAAGATTTTACTCTAAAACAGACTTTGACATTCATTATATTTGGCTAAATGCATCAAAGTTTGTAGAAGAAAATTCTTATGTTTGTTACTTGGAATAAACTAAAATCAATTTATAGATTAAAAAAAGAAAAATAATAATCCCAAGAAGTTAAATGACTATTGGCTAAGAGTATAATGTTACATTTCCTTTATTGTTGCTAAGGCAAAGATACATAATTCACATTGATATTTTTGTGTTTTCTAATTGAGGAAATTTCAACTGGGTGATTTTGGCCTTTGATCTAAAGAGTTTGGACCTGTGCTTTAAGTCCTGCTGGTTGAATCTGCTGAATGTGACATTAATATCCAGAATAAATGAGCTGCTGAGTTTGTTTCTCTCCCTGTGATGAGCTGAAGCCACAGAGGTTCATTGTTGCACAGATTGCTGATCAGGCTGCAGCAGAATGACTTCATAACATTTGGTTGTAGCGTCTGGGCTGCCTGCCATGTGCAGCGTAGTGGCGACACTTCAAACCGTCGTCTGGTTGGGAGACGCTTTGACATTTACCACCAGGTCTCTGCAGAAGGTCAGCTGAGCGCCGAAAACAGTCAATGAAGCTGCATGTGAAAAGACAAATTATGACCCAGTTTTAAACATTTTGCAAAAACTACAGTTAGGACCAAAATTATTCATACCCCTGGAAGGTTTAGATTTTAGTTTAGTTTGTTATATCAGAAAGTCACAATGTGAAACTCTTCTATGTTCATCTCAAGTCCAAAATGGCCGACTTCACAACAGACTCATTCAGGGGCTCTGGATTTATTTTAACAAAAGAGAAAATTAAGTTGGTGGTTGACATCAGTCCTCTGCATTAAATAAGGTAAATAAATAAACAAACTACAGAGCAGATAGCATTTGTAAAATTTACACTAATAATATTAACAACAGTTAAAAACGTGACAAAATTACTCTTGAAACATTGCAGATGGCTAAATGTGTCAAAAATATAATATAACTTGTGAAGAAAACACAGAGCTGACCCGAATGCACACCGCAGTTACCGACGGCAACAGAGAAAGAGGGGAGGAGCTGTCAGTCACCGGTTGCCATGGTAACCGCCAACACCGCCAACAACACCGACAAACGTCTGGAGAAACAAAATACATAAATAAACACATTTTGACAAACTTCACATCTGTAAAAATAAAACAATTTGATTAAAAATGAAATTCATCAGCTTAAAAAAGAAATAATAAAGTTTTCAAAACTGTCCAAAATGTCAGAATTGATTTGGTGTAATTATCAAAATTTACTTTTATTTTATTATGTAGTTTTATTTTCTTTCCCATCGATGTTGCAGTTTGTTTATTCATGTCTCATTGTGATAAAAATTCTCAGTCAATAAAACATAAATGACATAAAAATTATTTCCACTTTATTAAAAATATGTTAAATAATTATAAGTGTTTATTTATATGGGATTTTTTTTATATGACTTATGTTCTATATGCAAATCTGTCTCTATGTTCATCATAAGAAATGTAGATTTAAAAATAATTTTAAAAAATTATAATTTTGCAGTACAAAAAAATGTGTGAACAGGTGAATCTACAAATCCACCTGATTTATTGGTTGGTCAGTTTGTTTCTAATATGTAAAAATATAAATGGCATTAACTTTGTTACTGAGTCAAGCTGACATCAGGTCAAACTGGACAACATCATCAACAGAAGATTGAGTTTATAATTCAATCCTGTAAAAAAATGAATAAAAACAACCAATAGGAGTTTTATAATAAGCAAAAGAAAATCATTTTAGGAGGACTGCATTCAAGGCTTCGTCTCAGTAATAAGGGTTACTTATCTTTTTCTTGCAAAGGAAAACATCTCTGTTTCTTTCTGAGGTTATATAACCATATGAAATGTGTGGGTGGATTCAGAAGCTGTTTTGATTGTCTTTTTTTTTTAAGTGCAAACAAAGTAAAGACAAAAACACTTTGGATCAATGCCAGCCTGTATTCGTTCACTTATTGAGGGGGAAGCTTTAGCTCATTTAAAGTGAGCGTCTCAGCTTGAGTGGGAGAAGGAAAAAAAGATTTATTATTTTCAGAATAATTAGCTGGATGGTAGGAAAACAGCTGGACTCGTCCTAACCTGGTGATTCTCTCCTTTTCCTGTTTTCAGACTTTGAGGATCTGTTCGACGACGATGACCTGCAGTGATCACAGATGAAGAAAACAACCTTTAATTTCTCTTTTTATCTGTACAGACTCATTGGTGATTAAGTATGCTATTAAAATAAATAAAGTCTTTATGTTTCCACTGGAAACTGAGTGAACCAGGTGTTTGTGAAAACTCAGTCTCTTACATTCCGGCTTTGGAGAAAATTATGAGTATGGTTTTCGTTTCAATCTGCTCCAATTGCAGGTTTGTGGGCCATGAGGACCATCTGTTACCAAACATAATTACACACAAGGATCCGTGTTAACATGGCCTGTAAACACTCTGAAGGCGTTTGGGACGGGAAAGTATGAGGAAATCCTAAAACATATATTTCTGCCTTCTTAGGGATGTAATTGGAAGTTTTCTGTCTGAACGAATCTAATTTTCAGGGACTTTCTTTTCTATAAGCTGATGTAGATAAAAAGACAATCTGCTGCTGAAAATCTAAAGGGTGAAACAGAAATAAAGCTGCTTTCTGTTCGTTTAATTCCCCCCCAAAAAAGTCGAAACAGGCACTTACAGGCACAGGATCTTTTCACACGAGGTGAACTGCTTTAGAGAAAAACAAAAGTTTTGAAGACTTAACTACATTTTTAAAAAAAACTAGCAGTTAATAAACTCTGAAAACTTGTAAATTAATTGTAGAGTGATAGATTAATGATTTATTAGATTAAAATTAGTTGTAGTTGGGAAAAGAAAAGCTGAACAAATGTGCTGGAGGCTCAGCTTGGGCTGCTAGATAACGGGCTGGGGTTACTAAGTGACCTTCCACAAACTTTTGAAACCAAAAAATGTAAATTTATTACCAAACTTTCAGTGTTTGTGTTTTTTAGGCTGTTTTCAGAAGCAGTAAAAACCCAAATGGACGAACAAAAACAGACAAAATGTGATTTTTAAAATATTTTCCATTTAATGTTTGTTTTTGTATTAAGTAAAACCTTTTTTTTTTTTAGCAAACATGAAGTCCAATAGTGAACCAAGTCCTCTGAACTAATACTGATTTTGTAGCTTTTCAACTCATTCATTAGGCATTCACAGAAAAAGCTGTGGTATCAAAAAATAAAGTGAATAAACCCTGAAAGCACCCAAAGAAATGATGAGAAACATGCATCATTTCTTAAAACTACTATAACATGATGTTTAAAACATGATTTATTTGGGATAAAATCTAATTCTGCATGGAAGTAATATTCATCTCTAAGTTAAAATTCTCTCATAAAACCATAAAGTAATATCTGCAGCTGAGCTTTAAAACTCATCAAATCTGGATTTTCGCCTCCCGTCTACTAGATATGGTGATATTGCATCATGCGTCTGTTCAGGTAGCGGTGTGTGTGTGTGTGTGTGTGTGTGTGTGTGTTTCTTACAAGGCTGGCAAGTCTGAACCGTGGAGGAAACTGTAGATTATCAGATTCCTCATGTGTGGACCAGCTGTGCCTGGTTCTGCAGGTCCTCTGTGGTTCGGCGCCACAAGGTTCCTAAAAACTGCTTATGTGGCTCCTGATCTCCCTTCATTACTTTCCTTTTGTGTTTCCACACCACTGCCCTCCCGTTCATCTTTGCTCTCCTTGTTTTGGCTCGTTGGTAGTCACAAAGCCATTTCGGTGTTTTAAAAAAGCTTTGGGATTGTGGACAAACATTTTGAAATATGTTGTCATTTATGCAGCGGTTGCAGTTCAACTGACTTTTGAGAATTTCTTTCAGGAAAGAGTCTTTGTCTGTCAACTGTGACGGCGTGTTGGGCCCATTTAGGTAAAAAACCCAACAATATGAGTAAATTTCTGCCCCAAAATATCAGAAATATCCTAAAAATAACTTGGAAATTTCTGACTTTGAAAAATCTAAAAAACTCCAAAATTTTGAGTTTAACTCAGAAATTTTATAGAAAATTTTTGGGCATTTCTGAATTTGAAAAGTTGCATATTTGCTAGAAAATATCTAGAAATTTCTGAGTTTAAAAAGGCAAAAATCTTTGACTCAATATTTTGAAAAGGTAAAAATTTTAAACTTTCAAACTCAAAAATTTCCAAGTTTTTATTTTCAAAAATGTTCGAAGCTCAGAATTTTTTTTTGCTTTTATGCTATTTCTTATATTAATCTAAAAAGATGTTTTCTGAAATTTCTAAGTTTTTTCTCAAAAATTTCTGAGATTAAGCTCAAAATTAGAGTTTTTTTCTTGCAAATGAGTTTTTTGGCACAATTTTACTATCTATTCTATTTATAAAGTCATTCTAGTTCACATTGTTAGTATTTTGTCATTTTCCACTCGGCTGTCGCAGTTCAACTGCAATATTTTGAGAATCTCTAACAGTAAACATTCACCATTCAGTCTGTTTTGGTTTCAGCACTTTACAACTTCATTTAGTTGATTTCCAAATAAAGAAAGGCTTCTGTAGTTAAATAAAAACTTTGCACAATGTGACGATTAACTGAGTAATTGTCAGAATACGTTATGATTGTTAAATTAATCATTGGTTGCAGCCCTAAAATAAAACAGAAGCAGCATCTTTTTTCAGTGTATTATTCCACGTCTCCATCTATTTTCCGGGCCCTCCTGCTCTCTTCCATCCTGCCTTTAATTAGTGCTCCTGCTCGACGCCTCATTGGCCCCAAACCTCGAGCCAATCTCGCTGCGGCTCCCCTGGACCCCCTCAGGTGGTCCATGTGTGTCTGAGACGACGTTCCCAGTTAAAAACCTTCCCAGTTGGTTCATTCTGGGCAGTCTGTAAGGAACGCACAGTTGAAAACAAACCACTCAAACATCCAGAGTCTCTTCAGCTTCTTCCCAGTCCAGACGGACGCAGCAGAGTCAGAATAACCACCAGGTAAGAGGCCCAAGGTTGTGTTTGCCTCAGGAGTTCTGGGTAATTTCCAAGCTTTCAAACGCAGATGAAAGTTTTCTTCTGTGGAGAAACACCTGGTGTTGATGTTACAGTGACAAAGCCTTGGTATTAAAACTGGGAAAACTTCATGCAGTGACACGAGAAGCAGCTGGAGACGAGAAATGTTTCATTTAACAACCTAATTATTGCAAGAGTAACTGCAATTAGGGTTGAATTTGCTTTAAAAAGTCAAAGTGAATATTTTTTTTAAAAGTAAATCTTCAGTTTTGTGGTTCTTGTAGGAGTGGAAGAAGTCCAGTCATGGCTGAACGGAGGAGCTGCTTCGCTGTTTGGATCACTTCCCTTCTTGTTGTGATGCTGCTGCCTGGTGAGTACAGCATCAGTGTGCCGCAATATTCAGCTTTAATGAGCAACTGCAGCTGCAGAGCATTTAAGAGCAGCACTACTTCAACATACTTTCACTCTAGTAAAAGGAAAAAGTTGCCAAAAGTTTCATTGTTTAATTTATTTCCTGAATATTTTTCAGGGAACCAAAAATAATTCCACATGTGTAAATAAATACAGATTTATTTCAATAATAAATACAAATAAGTTATACTTATGTTTTTTAAAAGTAAATATATGTATGTATTTATTTGCAAGTAAATATAATTTTTATAATAATAATTATGAACTAATAATAAAACAGACATAGCACCTGTGGCTTTGTAACAAATGAATAAAAATGAAAATATGCGATTAATAAAATAAATACTGTATTCATAGCTATAAAGCTTTTATTTCCTGGATTTCTTTTCTTTATTACTGAGAGTTTCTACCACATAATTGGACCTGTGGCCTTGTTTTTTGTTTAGTTTTGATAAAACTGCCTCTAGATCCTCTAAGTAAATGACACTTATGATAAGTTATAGCTGCTCATCTGAAGGTTCTGTTAGCAGAGACCTTTGACCTCCATGTCGTCGCTGCGGCTCGTTCATCTCTCCTCTGACGTCCATAAATAAACATTTCATCTCCTCCGCCACCTGTTTCCAGTTTGCTCCCGACCCGATGGGCTTTTTCCCCCCCTCTTTTCTTTTTGAAACACTTTCAGAACCGAGGTTCTTTTCATCATTCCCGGTCCTGTTAAAAATCCGGACCTGTCAGCATTACAGCCCGGCTGCTTCCAGATGTGCGAGTCGCTTTTTTCTTTCTTTTTACAAGCTTGTAAAGAACAATCCAGCGGCGTCTTAGCGCTCCCACCCCTTCCTCTTCCTCTTCATCACTACAGGTTATTTACACTGTAAAAAATAGTTGTTCCTGTATGTAAAATCACAGTTTGTTTAAATCACAGAAACTTTTGTAAACAAGTTTATTTGTAAAGCACATTTCATTAACAAGGTGCTTTAAACATCACAGTGTTTTTACAGCAGCTGCATGTGAGTATTTTCAAATGGACAATTATTGTGAAAGTCAAACCAAATCCGTTATGCAAAATAATTTTTTATGGATTAAACAGTAGGGCTGCACCGTTTCCGATCCTTAAGAAGCCGATTTAAATCTTTTTCGGCTGAAATGTTGCTAAATGTAGCAAGAAAGTTGCTGAGTTTAAATAGTTGTTTGCTGTAAATATTCAGACATGACCCAGTGGTTCAGAGGTCAACCTTCAGACATTTACTGAGGTAGATGAGATCGGCTTCACACGTGAACATCAGTCGGTCACCGATCCACCAGAATTGAGGAGACCAGCGCCGATAATCCAGCGCACCTCTACTGAACAGATTATTAATGTAATTCAGCGGTAAATTAAATTTCATATTTCTTTTGGTAGAGTTAATTACTTAAAACCTGACATTTCCACAGGAAAACGCATCAGTTTTGTAACAGTGTCGCTTTCTGTCCTTCTCCATCAAACCTTCTCAACTCCAAACACATTTTGATGTTTCCTTTGGACCTCTGCCATGTCATCCTCAAACTCCAGACCTTTTTAAGCTCTTTTCACCTCCTCTTCCTCCTCCCCTCTGTAAGGGATTAACACCTTTCCCCCGGAGAGATGAAAGGAACCAGGAGCTGATTCTGCTGTTCCCCTTCGCTGTTTGGGGGTCAAACTGTGCGATGCACATGTGCGCACAAACAAATAAGGGTTGGTTCACACACAGCGTTTTGGACACGCAGCGGGAGGTTTGATGCTACAGGCGTCCCCATAAAATCTACAAAGAGCTGCCGATGCAACGCTCCAGGCTGAGCCAATTACCTCTGGCTTACTTCATGAATGATGCCAGCCTCTAAGTGTTTG